CCATTGGGCATATAGCCATAGACACATCCAACTCAAGTAAAAGCTTCCTTACTTCCCCACTGGTAATCTCAAACTCTTCTAGTGGTTCCTGATTAACTATTCCCTCTCTTATCTCTGGAATTTCTCCTTGCTCTAAAGTGAAGACCTCCTTGAATTTCTTATTCAGTTCCTCACACACTTCCTTGTCGTTTGTAGTGAATCCGTCTGCCCCTATCCATAATTTCATTACCTGTTCCTTTACTGATGTTTTTCTCCTGATGTGGCTATGCAGCAATCTAGGTTGAGTTTTTGCATTACTTGCCATGTCATTTCCGTATTGCTTTTCTGCCTCTCTTCTCAACCTGACATATTCATTCCTGGCACTCTAGTATCTTTCTCTGCTCTCAAGAGTCCTGTTATTTCTATAGTTTCTCCACGCCCTATTATTTTGCTGCTTAGCTAGCCTACATCTGTGATTAAACCATGGGTTTCTCATCTTTATTTCATTGTTTCCCTTTTGGACTGGGACAAACTTGTTTGCTGCCTCCGTACACTTCTGTGTAATGTAGTCCATCATGTCTTGGGCCGTCTTTCCCTTGAGCTCTGTTTCCCATGTTATATCTGTTAGGAATTTTCTTGTCTCCTCATAGTTGTCCTTCCGGGAAGCCAGCCTTTTGTTTTCAGTTCCCCTTCGTAGAGTTCAATAACCCTTCTTCAACCAGATACTCAAACGCCAGTACACTGTGGTCGCTCATTCCTACTGGGGCCTCGAAACCGATTTCCCTTATGTCGGAGTCGTTCAGAGTGAAGACTAGGTCGAGTCTTGCTAGTTCATCGTTTCCTCTCATCCTTGTGGGTTCCCTGACATGCTGGCTTAAAAAGTTTCTTGTCGCCACCTCCAACAGTTTGGCTCTCCATGTATCCTCACCTCCACGTGGTTCTTGGTTCTCCCAGTCTATCCTTCTGTGATTGAAGTCTCAAAAGATGAGCAGGTGGGATCTATTTCTATAGGCAGCAGAGGCTGCCCTCTCAATTATAATGTTAATTACCATGTTGTTGTTATCACTCTTGCTTGGGTCTTCTGTCATTTGGTGGAGGATTATATATCACTACTACTACTACTTTTGGTCCTCCCATTGTCATGGTGCCTGTTATGTAGTCTCTGAATTCCTCACAGTCCGGGGTAATCATCTCTTTGAAACTCCATTCCTTTCTCATTAGTAGGACCACTCCCCTTCCTTCCCTCTCTTTCCATATTACAGTGTAGTCCTGGGGAATCTGCATTTGTTATGATTTCTGAGAGTTTTGTTTCTGTGAGTCCGATTACATCTGGGTCCACTTACTTTCACTCTTTCCCTTAGTTCACTTGCCTTGCTTGTAATCCCAACTATGTTCGAGTACATCACCCTGAAACTGACTCTCTTCAGTCCTTTCTCAGTTCCTATTGGATTAAAGGACACTTTAATCCAATAGATCTCGTGTCATCCCCTTCTTGCCCCCCATGGAGGGTTTTCCCTTCCTACATTTTGTAAAACCCTAACCCAGTGACTAAAGCGTTTACCCCTCCTACAGTTCTGAAACGCCATTTCCTTGCACACTTTTCTTTCCACTTCCGCTCCATTTCCATCTTCACTGATGGGTCTAAGTATGCAGACGGTATAGGCTACTCTCTTGTTTTTCCTGACCACATCTATATGTGTCGCGTTCCTCCGGAGACTAGCATCTTCACGGCAGAACTTCATGCTATTATGTACGCTATTCGTCAACTGCTTTCTCGCTGTAAATCTTCCTTTGTTGTTGTAGTTAAATCTCGCAGTGTCCTCATTGCTCTGGAGTCATTTAATCCACTCCATCATGTGGTCGTCAAAATTCATCATTGGCTGTTTTTTTTTTTATCTCCAGCAGGTTTAAGAGAGTAGAGTTTTTCTGGGTTCCCAGCCATATTGGTGTGTCCTTAAATGAGCGTGCAGACGCTGCCGCTAAGGAGGCTATCCGCACTTGACCCATCTTCCATAAAGGTGTTCCTTATTCCGACTTATACCCGGTTATTCATTCTTCAATCCGTGTGCGTTGGTCTTCTGTTAATGATAACAAACTGCGTTCTCTTAAGGGTTAACGTGTCCCCATGGCCTGCCTCCTACCACCGTAACCGTCGGTTGAAAACGGCTCTGTCGATGTTATGTATTGGCCATACACGTTTAACTCACGGGCACTTAATGGAGCGCCACCCCGCTCCTTACTGTCCAAACTGCATTGTCCCTCTTACGGTTGTGCATATCCTTGTTGAATGTCCTGACTTCCAGGACGTGCGTGTGTCTTGCTTCCCGACCGTCACCAGTCCCTCGATAGAATCCTTGGTGAATCGGACACCTTTGATATCGTTCGCCTTGTGCGCTTTTGTTCTCGTATTGGCATCCTTAGTGATATTGAGCGGCTTTTGAATATCCCGCACATTTGATGGTGCTACATAGCCTTCCTGGCTTGGTGCCTTCTTTTGATAATTACTTACTAAGACAAGAGCCAGGTTGTATCATTACAGCACGAGTCAGGTTGTATCATTAAAGTATCCTCTAATAATACAATCTGCTCCTTTGGTTTGTGTTAACTATTGTATGTGACTTATAGATAGATCTGTTATGTCTTAGCTGGCAGTATTTGTTTTTTAGTGAATATTTATTTTTCTAATTTGTATTTACTTCCATACTGAATGATGACTCTAAGTGGACTGTGTGTTAGATTGAGTCTGCCAGTTTTACTTGTACATAGTTTGTGGGATGTGTACAGCTTATACCACAATGAGCGGTTATATAATTAGCTATACACATTTGTCTTTTCTTCACATAAATTGTTAGTGTTAACAGTGTTAAAGTTAGAGTGAGGTTAATACTAAAATTTGTATAATTATGTTAGTATTGTGTAAGCTTATCTGGGTAGGTGGTTATGGCCTGTTGGGCTTAAACATCAAATTAGGGTGTGGCACATGTGGTCTGTGTGCCATGTATTGGCGGTCGGCACTGTGGTGTCTGTGGAGCAGCTAGGGTGTGCAAGAAGCGTCACAGGTTATGTAGGCCAGCTCACTGATGTCTCCAGGTCACAAGCTTACCTGCCGAAGAATGGGTTTTAATAACGGTTCCATTAATATATAAAGTACAAGTGTGACATGAATTAATGTGTGTAGTACAGAGATAAACTCACTTTGTTGGGGTTCAAGCCCTGTGTCTTAACAATAATTTCCTTCACTAATAATGGCCACTATTACATGCAATAGAAATGCTGAAAGTTGTTCTTCCCTTTGTTAATGAGATCTTCGGTTGGTCAGATTGTAGTGGATCCTTTGTCGAAGATCGTGGGAAGAACTGTTCTGTGTTGTGATAATTTGAGAAGGAGTTCCTCCCTGTCTCGTGTCTTTGTTTACAAACACTGTGAGAGCATGCTCCCTGCTCCCTCTTCCTGGCGGTGTTCCAATACTATTTCTGGTCCTACTCTGTTTTATGGATTTAGGGAGTCAAGCTATATTTTTTCTGGTGTATTTATTTATTGTGGAAAAATCCTAGCAGCTTAATTCCTTTTTAATTCTGTAAATACTAAATATTTTACTTATTTTTTAATTGACCTTAATATGATAATTTTATCTGATTATTTTCATAGTTAGTTCTTAGTATTAAGTTAGTTAATTAAGCAAGTAAGTAATTAAGTAAGTAATTAAGTAAGTAAGTGAGTGGACTGTATGTACTGATTCAGCTGCCTGAATTTATCTCACATAATTTGGGGGACAATTTGCAGCTTAAACCACTTTGAGATGGCTCCTTCATAAACCACAAATTGTTTACCTAATCTTCAATATGTAAATTATAAATCATACCACATATGGCGGTCTAATCTACTATTATTATAGCAATAATGAATTTTTAATTACTAATACTATGTCTACAGTATTGTACAAAAAAAGGGGCTTAGCTGTTCCTGTTGATGTATTATATAATCTACTCCTTTGGAATGAAATGGCCTGCTCAGGCTGTGTAATTGTAGCATCAAAATTGGGTGTGGCTCTGTGCCTCTGAGTGCCACGTAATGGCGGCTGTCTGAAGGCCTACAAAGCTTGGTGTACAGCTAGGTAATAATCTTATATTGAGGGCCAACTGTCTGCTCAGCTTCTTGTAACTCCAAATCACAATTACCTGCCGAATTTAAAGAATTAATAATGTTTCCCTAAACATATAAGTACAGGTATGACATGGAATATGAGTGTGTTGAGCTGAGTAAACGTACTTGATTGTGGGTTTTATCATACATTATAACCGCCTACCTATTTATGAATAAATATGGCCAAACTTAAACAAAAAATACTTGGTAAGATGGATACTGGTGTTGCTGTGGATGTTGAGAGGCTGTTTTGCTGGTTGCTCACTTGTTGACACGTAGTCTGGGTGTCTAAAGAGTTAAATCAGCTCATATGGAGAGAGCCACTCTACAGCGTGTCTAGCTTTGTTGTTATTCTCTCTACGTGACGACGCTCCTGGGGGAGACGAACTCAAATGTTTGGTGGTTCTATGTTTAAGAAATAGAGTATTAAGCTATATTCCTAGTGTTGGAAATTATATTCAGTCCTAGTGAACACTTTTTTATTAAATTTAAACACTAGACTGTTGTTTAAAAGAAATTATGAGTAATGCAAATTGATGTCATGGAATCACCCATTCTCTTTTCTTTAAGCGGATATTCATGTTAATATGTGTGTCGGATTTCTGACATTTATATTCAATTCTAGTGAATACTATTTTATTAAGTTTAAACACTAGACTGTGGTTTTAAAGAATAATTGTGGAGTTTAAGTATACATGATGTAAATATGGGTGTTGTTGTGATGACGTAACGAAAACTCATTTTCTTTAAATTCTGTAATGGCTAACTATAGAATGTTAACATGTGTGTCGGATTTTCGATATGTTACAATAAAGTGCGAAGTTTCTTAGTGAACTTTTGTAATGTATTGAGTTTGTAGCAGTGCATTATGTCAACAGGTGTGGTGGAGCAGGGCAGATCAGCGGTGTTCAAGCAGCGGGTGGAGGTGGAAGTGGACGGAGAGCGGACATATAGTGGAGCAGGTGTGGTGGAAGTGAGCAGGTACCAGGCAGACACCCTCCTCATCCTCACCACCAGAGACGCCCACAACTCTGCACAACCACTGGCAAGTCTCTCTCTCTCGCCTTATATCTCCACAGCTTTACCTTAACCTCTTCTCTCTGCACCTTATATCTCCACAGCTTTACCTTACTCTCTTCTCTCTCCCGCCTTATATCTCCACAGCTTTACCTTACTCTCTTCTCTCTCCACCTTATATCTCCACAGCTTTACCTTACTCTCTTCTCTCTCCCGCCTTATATCTCCACAGCTTTACCTTACTCTCTTCTCTCTCTCCCGCCTTATATCTCCACAGCTTTACCTAACCCGCATCTCTAATGTCCACATGGACATTATGTGATCTCTTCTCTAATGTCCACATGTTATACCTGAACAATTGCGCTATGGCAACTTTCTTCCCAATGTGCACAAAATGCACCATTTTTTGGTGCCAAATGTTCGTGTATTTGGCAGCAACAGAGAAACATTGCAAGGTGGGTAACTATACAGTCATACATATGATAGTGTGCATGCCTCGGGCGACGTTTATAATCACCAGAACGTTATTAAACAGATACAACAACAGAGAGTCCCATCAATACTCGTCCGTCGTGTATACTCGTCCTGTCATAGCGGCGTGTATATTGTACAACAACACCCCATACTCGTCCTATGAGTGGTAGTTTATTGTGCACCCCATACTCGTCCTATGAGTGGTAGTTTATTGTGCACCCCATACTCGTCCTGTGAGTGGTAGTATATTGTGCACCCCATATTTGTCCTGTGAGCGGTGTATATTGTGCACCTCATACTCTTCCTTTGAGCGGTAGTTTATTGTGCACCCCATACTCGTCCTGTACTCACCTAGTTATACTCACCTAGTTGTGTTTGCGGGGGATGAGCTCTGGCTCTTTGGTCCCCGCTTGTCGACTGTCAATCAACAGGTGTACAGGTTCCTAAGCCTACTGGGCTCTATCATATCTACATTTGAAACTGTGTTTGGAGTCAGCCTCCACCACATCACTGCCTGATGCATTCCACCTGTTAACTACTCTGACACTGAAAAAATTCTTTCTAACGTCCCTGTGTCTCATTTGGGTACTCAGTTTCCACCTGTGTCCCCGTGTTTGAGTACCAACCGTGTTAAACAGTTTATTCTTATCAACCCTGTCAATTCCTCTGAGAATTTTGTAGGTGGTGATCATGTCTCCCCTTACTCTTCTGTCTTCCAGTGTCGTGAGGTGCATTTTATGCAGCCTTTCCTCGTAACTCATGCCTCTTAGTTCTGGGATTAGCCTAGTAGCATACCTCTGAACTCTTTCCAGCTTCGTCTTGTGCTTCACAAGGTACGGGCTCCATGCTGGGGCCGCATATTCCAGGATTGGTCTTACATATGCGTTAAACAAGGTTCTGAATGATTCCTTACACAGGTTCCTGAAGGCTGTTCTGATGTTAGCCAGCCTCGCATATGCCGCAGATGTAATTCTCTTTATATGGGTTTCAGGAGACAGGTTTGGCGTGATGTCAACTCCTAGATCTTTCTCTGTCCGTTTCATGTAGTACTTCATCTCCCATTCGGTATCCTGTGTCTGGCCTCCTGTTTCCACCGCCTAGTTTCATAACCTTGCATTTACTCGGGTTGATCTTTAGTAGCCATTTGTTAGACCATTCTGTCTAGGTCATCTTGTTTTCCCCTACTATCATCCTCTGTTTTAATCCTCTTCATAATTTTTACATCATCAGCAAACAATGAGAGGAACGATTCTATACCCTCTGGGAGATCATTTACATATCTCAGGAACATTATGTGCACAATATACTAACGTTCACAGGTCGAAAATGGGGTGTACAATACAATCGCACAATGCGGTGAAGGGGTATACTCCTCTTCTGTGAGCGGTGTGTATTGTGCACCTCTTACGCGTTCTGTGAGCGGTGTATATTGAGCACCCCATACTCGTCCTGTGAGCGGTGTATATTGTGCACCCCATACTCGTCCTATGATCAGTAGTTAATTGTGCACCCCTACCCTTCTTCTGAACAGTGCACATGGTGCTCGTTCTTTTAGTGGTGGTTTATTGAGTACCCCATTCTCGTCATGTGAGCATAAGTATATTGTGCACCCTATTCTCGTCCTGTGAGCGATAAAGTATTGTGCACCCCATACTCGTCCTGTAAGTGGTAGCATTTTGTACACCCCATTTTTGTCCTGTGAGCGGTGTATATTGTACACCCCATACTCGTCCTGTGATAGTTTATTGTACACCCCATACTCGTCCTGTAAGCGGTAATTTACTGTGAATCTCATACTCGTTCTGTGAGCGGTAGTTTATTGTGCATCCAGTACTCATCCTATGAGCGGTGTATATTGTGCACCTCTTACTCGTCCTGTGATAGGTAGTTTATTGTGTACTCTTGAGCCCCCCTCCTATTTTTCCCCAAATCCGGCGTTAAGAGTCATATCCGCTGACCCTCCTGATTCCCTGAAGTGCAAGGAGTCTTTTGGTATATGGGGCGACAAAATTGGTCACCTAATTTGGGGAAAAATTTATGTTTCTAAGTTTGTAGGTGAGGGGGGGGGGGAGTCGCACGCCTGGTACAAACAAAATGGCGCCCCCTGACAGGACATCCGCAATTTTGTGGGCGACGCCAGCTAGTTTATTGTGTACCCCATTCTCTTCCTGTGAGGGGTTTATAGTGTATCTTCTATCTTGAGATGATTTCGGGGCTTTAGTGTCCCCGCGGCCCGGTCCTCGACCAGGCCTCCACCCCCAGGAAGCAGCCCGTGACAGCTGACTAACTCCCAGGTACCTATTTACTGCTAGGTAACAGGGGCATTCAGGGTGAAAGAAACTTTGCCCATTTGTTTCTGCCCCGTGCGGGAATCGAACCCGCGCCACAGAATTACGAGTCCTGCGCGCTATCCACCAGGCTATACCCAATACTCGTCCTATGAGCTGTGCATATTTAACACCCACATTCTTATCCAGTCAGCTGTATATATTGTGCACCCTATACTCGTCCTGTGAGAGGTGTATATTGTGAACCCCGTATTCGTCCTATCAGCGGTGAATATTATGCACCCCCAGACTCGTCCTGTGAGCGGTGTATATTACGCACACCATACTTATCCAGACAGCTCTGTATATTGTGCACCCAATACTCGTCCTGTGAGAGGTGTATATTGTGCACCACATACTCGTCCTGTGAGCGGTGTATATTGTGCACCCCATACTTTTCCTTTGAGCGGTGTATAATATGCACACCATACTAGTCCTGTGAGTGGTGTATATTGAGCAGTCACTACTCTTTCTTTGAGCGGTGTATATTGTGCACCCCATACTCCTCCTGTGAGCGGTGCATATTGTGCACCCGTAATCGTCATATCAGCAATGTATATTGTGCACCCTATACTCGTCGTGTGAGTGTTAGTTTATTGTGCACCTCATACTCGTCCTGTGATCGGTGTTTATTATGCACCCCCATACACCTCCTTTAAGCGGTTGTTTATTGTGCACCCCATACTCATCTTGTCAGCAGTGTATATTGCACACCCATTTCTCGTATTGTGAATGGTGTACATTGTGAACCTAATACTCGTCCTCTGAGCGGTGAGTTACGTTAGGCTAGGTTAGGTTAGGCTAGGTTAAGTATGATGATGCATTGTTGTTCAGAGGATATTTTTAAGATTTAGTGGCTAAGGAAATATATTTTAACAGAATAATTTATAAACAGATATGCAAATGTGTTATAAAAAGGTGAACTAGTTACTTAAAGATTTTAGTTAAGAACAATGTTAAAAAACTTCCTTTTAATATTTTTTGTACTCCACGAAGTATAATGTTAGTTAGGAAAGTGTTGAACGAAGCTACACTTGACGATTTTAATACCAAGTTTTGACTGTAAATGTCTTAATGAACTAGTACCACTACATAAAATTTAGCACATGTTTAGTTTGATATAATACTTAAAGTTGTTTAAGACTACATGATGCTGTGTCTTAGTTTACTTATGTCTTGAAAAGCTGTCCTTGGCTACTTATTTATTGAATGAAGAACATTTGTTACATTTGAGAGATTTTTTGATGCTTGAAGATGTCCTAGAGAGTAATTCTTTTATATAAAGTCGTGTTAAAGAGTGCAAATGACAATTAAAATGATCTTGGAACTTATTATTGTTGTCTTGGAGAGATTCTTGAATGGGCGAAGAAAGTTTATTTGATGCTCGAAGACGTCTTTGACAGTTTCTTTGATAAACGAAGGTGAGTTAGAGAACAACTTTGATGAACGAAGGTGAGTTAGAGAACAACTTTGATGAACGATGTGAGGTAGAGAACAACTTTTTATGCACGGAAATGTCTTAGACAGTTTCTTTGATGAACGAAGGTGAGTTAGAGATTAACTTTGATGCATGATGATGTTTTAGAAAGTTTCTTTGAGTGTGTCATTGATGTCTTGAAGTGTATCTTTGACTATTTTCAGTTGAATGAAGAACAATTTTAGTTAAGAACAGTGTTAAAAAACTTCCTTTGGCTATTTTTTGTACTCCACGAAGTATAATGTTAGTTAGGAAATTGTTGAACGAAGCTACACTTGACTATTATTAGTTGAGTGAAGTGTTGTTTTGGTTAAGAAATGACAAAAAATATGATGAATTTGCCTATTGTTAGTTGAATGGCAAATAATTTTAGTTAAGAAATGATGAATGTGGCTATTTTTAGTTGATTGACGAATAATTGTAGTTAAATTAAGACAAGAAAATTTGATGAATGAGCCTATTTTTAGTGTATTAGAGAATAATTTTAGTTAAAAACAACAAGAAAAGAATGTCTTGGTAAATTTGTTACTGTATAAAGGGAAGATTTGTTTTCGAACAAAGCTGTTAAGAAATAATAAGTTGTTAAGCAAATTTTTTAAAAATAAACCTGATAAATGACTAAATAAATAAAACTCTGTAGTAACTTGTGGAGAATTAGTAATGTTGCTGTTGATAATACATAACTACGAACTACAGAATGGCAGAAACAATTGGTTTAAAAGAAACAAAGAACATGAAAAGCCGAGAATATGAAAAGGAATGCGATGAACGGTTAAGAACAGATTGATGGAGGAAAATTGTAAGAATGGGTGGCGACATGAGCTGAGAACATGTGGGGACATGTAAGGGAAGGAAGGAGGAAATATGTACTTACATATGATAAGATACATGCTAATAGCTGTTTAAGTCTTATGGTGCATATCAAGAAATAGAGAACATGTAAGAGAAATGCGAAGGACACAGTGAATATGCACAGAAAATGAATTCATATTGTAGAGAACATGAATAATGAATATAAAATTTGTACAGAGAACATGTGATGAATATTTGCAGAACATGAAGAACACGGAGATACAGGTGAAAATAAGGAATGGACATTTGGACGGATATTTTAAGAACACGGAGAGAACATCCAAATATGGTAAAATTATTGGTACTAGCTGTATTTAATATTCTTAAGGGTTAAGAGTTGTGAATGAATGAATCTGGGGAATGGGTGAGATGAATGAGGAGTAGAGGGAGAGGGAGGGGAAGATAAGGGTGAAAAGAATTGGGGAGATAAGGGAGGGGGAAGGTAGGGGAGGAGGAAGGTAAGGGGTGGGGGCAAGGGAAGGGGAAGATAAGGGAGGGGAAAGGTTAGGGGTGAGGGAGATAAGGTTGGGGGTGGTAAGGGAGGGGGGAGTTAAGGGCTGAGGGAGATAAGACAGGGGGACGAGGGGTGGAGTAATGAAGGAAGAGAGAGGGAAGTATGGAAAGAGTAGGGTGTAGAGGGGGGGGGGTTAGGGGGAAGATAAGGAGGAAGGCAGCAGGGAGAGATAAGGTGTATTATGACCGTGTGATTACTACCACATTAGTGATTATTTACATAGCTGAGTAAACAAGAGTGTTGAAGGAGAGGATATGCTTACTGTGATAAGGTGATAGGGAGGGAGCGGGTCTTGATCTGATATATTAAGTTTGATGAACATTGAACTAAGGTGGAGGACGGGAGTTGGCGCTTATGGAAGAAAGTTTGTGAGAGTTTGGTCCATCTCGGACCCACCACAGCCCGGTTGGTCCGGCACTCCTTGGAGGAATAAATCTAGTTTCTTCTTGAAAATGTCTATGGTTGTTCTGGCAATATTTCTTATGCTTGCTGGGAGGGTGTTGAACAACCGCGGACCTCTGATGTTTATACAGTGTTCTCTGATTGTGCCTATGGCACCCCTGCTCTTCACTGGTTCTATTCTGCATTTTCTTCCATATCGTTCACTCCAGTACGTTGTTAATTTACTGTGTAGATTTGGTACTTGGCCCTCCAGTATCTTCCAGGTGTATATTATTTGATATCTCTCTCGTCTTCTTTCTAGTGAGTACATTTGGAGGGCTTTGAGACGATCCCAATAATTTAGGTGCTTTATCGCGTCTATGCGTGCCATATATGTTCTCTGTATTCCCTCGATATCAGCAATCTCTCCTGCTCTAAAAGGGGCCAGGGAGGGCTGGCAAGATGTCCTCACCCCACAGCTGCCAGGTCGCAACTCTCCATAGGCGTCTGGAATGGTGCTTGTTGTGGGTGATAGGCGTCGGGAATGGTGCTTGTTGTGGATGATAGGCGTCGGGAATGGTGCTTGTTGTGGGTGATAGGCGTCGGGAATGGTGCTTGTTGTGGGTGATAGGCGTCGGGAATGGTGCTTGTTGTGGATGATAGGCGTCGGGAATGGTGCTTGTTGTGGATGATAGGCGTCTGGAATGATGCTTGTTGTGGGTGATAGGCGTCTGGAATGGTGCTTGTTGTGGGTGATAGGCGTCTGGAATGGTGCTTGTTGTGGGTGATAGGCGTCGGGAATGGTGCTTGTTGTGGGTGATAGGCGTCGGGAATGGTGCTTGTTGTGGATGATAGGCGTCGGGAATGGTGCTTGTTGTAGGTGATAGGCGTCGGGAATGGTGCTTGTTGTGGATGATAGGCGTCGGGAATGGTGCTTGTTGTGGATGATAGGCGTCGGGAATGGTACTTGTTGTGGATGAAAGGCGTCGGGAATGGTGCTTGTTGTGGATGATAGGCGTCGGGAATGGTGCTTGTTGTGGATGATAGGCGTCTGGAATGATGCTTGTTGTGGGTGATAGGCGTCTGGAATGGTGCTTGTTGTGGGTGATAGGCGTCTGGAATGGTGCTTGTTGTGGGTGATAGGCGTCGGGAATGGTGCTTGTTGTGGGTGATAGGCGTCTGGAATGGTGCTTGCCGTTTCTTTCATTTGTACACATATTCTGTAAATTTTATAAATAAAGAAAAACCATAATGTAACTATACAATACCAGTAAATAGTACTGATGCGGGCCTAAGGAAGTTAAGTGTAAGTAAGTTCTTAAGTGAATAATAGTGTGTAGGCCCACGGGTGGTAATGAGCGAGTGAGGAGCCACACAGCGACTGCACGTATGGTCGTGTGAAACCCCCGATCCTGGCAGGCGAACAACCTGCCAGGATCAGGGTGTTAATCATGCATAAATGACCAAGTACCTAAGAATGTTATACACAAAATAAAAAGAATTTACACATAGTTTGGTCATTAAATAATAACTGTTTTTGGTACATGTCCAGGTTCAAGGTATTTAAATGTGTGCTTTACCTCGAGACAATATATGGTTGCATATAGAAATAAGCTACTCGTATGCATTTGTGGTCAGACTTTGGACAAATGTTTCCGCACTTCAATCGTCAAAATCCGATGTTGTCGGGGTAGACAATCCCGCAGGAAGCCACATTAGAACAATGGCCTTGTTTCATACTCCTAATATATCTTTAAGTTTTTCTTACATATATATTTTCTTGTGTTTTGGTTTCAGGTTTCTGGTCGCGGGTCTGGAAGAGCTGTGGTGGTGAAGAGCCTGGGTGGTCGCGGCGCCTCGCTCCTTCACCATGTTGACGAGACCACCACATCCCTCAACTACAAGAGATCCCTGGCATCTCTCCTTACACCCGCCTACCACACCTCCACCCTCGCCTACCACACACAGGTACACCTCACATCCGCCCACCACACCTCCACCCTCGCCTACCACACACAGGTACACCTCACATCCGCCCACCACACCTCCACCCTCGCCTACCACACACAGGTACACCTCACATCCGCCCACCACACCTCCACCCTCGCCTACCACACACAGGTACACCTCACATCCGCCCACCACACCTCCACCCTCGCCTACCACACACAGGTACACCTCACATCCGCCCACCACACCTCCACCCTCGCCTACCACACACAGGTACACCTCACATCCGCCCACCACACCTCCACCCTCGCCTACCACACACAGGTACACCTCACATCCGCCCACCACACCTCCACCCTCGCTTACCACACACAGGTACACCTCACATCCGCCCACCACACCTCCACCCTCGCCTACCACACACAGGTACACCTCACATCCGCCCACCACACCTCCACCCTCGCCTACCACACACAGGTACACCTCACATCCGCCCACCACACCTCCACCCTCGCCTACCACACACAGGTACACCTCACATCCGCCCACCACACCTCCACCCTCGCTTACCACACACAGGTACACCTCACATCCGCCCACCACACCTCCACCCTCGCCTACCACACACAGGTACACCTCACATCCGCCTACCACACCTCCACCCTCGCTTACCACACACAGGTACACCTCACATCCGCCCACCACACCTCCACCCTCGCCTACCACACACAGGTACACCTCACATCCGCCCACCACACCTCCACCCTCGCCTACCACACACAGGTACACCTCACATCCGCTCACCACACCTCCACCCTCGCCTACCACACACAGGTACACCTCACACCCGCTCACCACACCTCCACCCTCGCTACCACACACAGGTACACCTCACACCCGCTCACCACACCTCCACCCTCGCCTACCACACACAGGTACACCTCACACCCGCTCACCACACCTCCACCCTCGCTTACCACACACAGGTACACCTCACACCCGCTCACCACACCTCCACCCTCGCCTACCACACACAGGTACACCTCACACCCGCTCACCACACCTCCACCCTTGCACTGCACCTCGTAGTCCGTATTTTTTTTTTTTTGCGGGGAAGCCCAGTCAGCTCCCCGGAGCTTTTGGACTGACTTTAGCTAATATTATTATTAGTACAGGGCTTCAGTCATATGGAGTTTTCATGCCTTCCGGAGACCACTAGCCAGAACAGCCGGTCCCCTCGGAGAGGCGCAGGTAGCAATGGCCTATGAAAAATTGCAACCTGAGACCGAACAGAGGCTAAAACTTCGCAAAGAAAAACAAGCTAACAGGCAACACTAACAGCCCGCTCGTTCGCGCCCACCCTCACCCTCCTCTCCCCGCCCCCCCCTGGATGGGGAGGGAAGGTCCCAGTCCACCGAACCGGCACCCAGACCAACAGTTTGTCAGCTGAAGCTGAAGCTGAACGGGTGGAGATCTGCTCTGGTTTCAGTTGCCTGATTGGCTTCCCCCTTCTGGTGCTACTGCTGTGCGTTGGTGGTGGCCAAGAGTTCTGTACCAAGAGCGGCAGGCGCTTGAGGCTCCCTTCCCCTAGGCGCCCTGTGAGTACACTCCTTGGGTTTAGAGTTATCTTCTCTGGGTTCTTCGGGTCCCCATTCCCGTAGAGATAGCAGTTGCTGGGCTTTCTGCCTCGCCATTAGGGTCAGCTCAGGTCTTGGTATTTTCGCTTGGCCCTGGGTAGGGAGTGCAGGTTGTTGCTGGTTTGGGCGTACTGTGATGCCCATCTTGCATAATCGCCACGGCCGTGACTTTCTTGTCCGCTAGGTTGTGGTGCTTCCTCGAGGTTCTCTTTGCTACTTTTAGTTTTCTTTTGCCCGTTAGGAGGCTGCCGGGGTGGGCGGGGTGATACATAGGTTCGGTAGGACAGTCCTCCACTGGGCCTCCAAGGTTGCTGACCACACAGGGGGGGGGGGGCAGTATGCATGGATGATATACAGGGTTACAGCTGATTTTGGCAGCACCAGTGCATCCTGTAGAAAAACATCCCCCTGCAGGCGGTTGAAATTCCCGTCTGGGCTTAGTGGACCAATGGACGTGTCCTCTGAGCTCCATCTCGCATTTTGTGAGCTTGAGGGTAGTTAGTTGCCCATTTGTCTCGGTGACGATCACCACTTTTGCCTCCTTCAGTCCGCGCCCCTTCGTTCTCCCCTTGTTTGTATGGTTCACCGTTCTCCTCCTCACCCCCTGCTGCCGGCTCCAAAACGTCTGAGGGTTTTGGGGACGGGCCAGGGTTTGGCTGAGGATGAGACTCGGGCGGCTCCGAGGGTTGCCCCATTCGGTGCGGGGACGGAGGCATTCGAACCAGTTCCTCCCGCCGAGGCTTCAGGGTCCTTCCAGCCTTTCCCTTGGACTCTGCATTTTCTTCAAGGGTTGAAGACGGCTCTACCCCGGGACTTTGTGGAGAGCCCGCCTTCAGAGCTTGAGCTTTTGTGCCTTCTGAGTTGGGGTTTTCCATCCCCTCCTTCCATCTGCGTTGGTTCACACTTTTGCAGGTGTGATTTCGGCGCCATTGCTTCAGGCGCATCGCCTGGGCTGGTTTGTTTTGGTGTCCATTATTGCTTTTCTGCAGGCGCTTCTCGACCCGGCTGCCAGGGCGGCACTGCGTCTGGTTTGTTTACATATGGCTGGGAGTGTGATCGCGTTTTGGGGGGCGTTTTTCGCCTCCTTCAGGTGGTGTTTGTCCCCCTGATGCCATTTCTGTGTGTACTCACCTAGTTGTGCTTGCGGGGGGTTGAGCTCTGGCTCTTTGGTCCCGCCTCTCAACTGTCGATCAACTGGTGTACAGATTTCTGAGCCTACTGTGCTCTATCATATCTACATTTGAAACTGTGTATGGAGTCTTCCTCCACCACATCATTACTTAGTGCATTCGATTTGTTAACCACTCTCACACTGAAAACATTCTTTCTAATGTTTCTGTGGCTCATTTAGGTACTAAGTTTCTACCTGTGCCCCCTTGTTCGTGTTCCACCCGTGCTAAAGAGTTTACCTTCGTCCACCCTATCAATTCCCTGAGAATTTTGGAGGTGGTTATCATGTCTCCCCTTACTCTTCTGTTTTCCAGGGACGTGAAGTTCAGCTCCTTTAGTCTTTCCTCGTAGCTCATACCTCTCAGTTTCGGGACGAGTCTGTTGGCATACCGCTGAATCTTCTCCAAGTTTGTCTTGTGTTTAATGAGATATGGACTCCAGGCTGGAGCTGCATATTCCAAGATTGGTCTGACGTAAGTAGTATACAGGGTCCTGAACGATTCCTTACACAAGTTTCTAAACGCAGTTCTTATGTTGGCCAAATCTAGCATATGTCACTGATGATATCCGTTTGATGTGGGCCTCTGGGGACAGGTTTGATGTGATATCAACCCCTAGATCTTTCTCTCTATTTGACTCTTGCAGGATTTCACCTCCCAGATGGTACCTTATGCTCCGCCTTTTGCTCCCTTCGCCTAATTTCATTACTTCACACTTTCATGAGTTGAACTTTAGTAGCCATTTTCTAGACCATTCCTCCAGTTTGTTTAAGTCGTCCTGTAGTCTCTGTCTATCTTCATCTGTCTTGATTCTTCTCATAATTTTTTCATCATCAGCAAACATTGAGAGGAATGATTCTATACCCTCTGGAAGATCGTTTAGATATATTACAAACAGGATGGGTCCAAGTATAGAGCCCTGTGCGACCCCGCTGGGGTCATCTTGCCACTCTGATGTTTTCTTCCCCCCCCCCCTTCCCTCACAGTTACTTGCTGTTTCCTGTTGCTTAGATACTCCCTTATCAACTGGAGCACCTTACCTTTTTCTCCTGGCTGTTGCTCCAGCTTTTGTAACTGGCTGTTATGGAGTACTGTGTCAAAGGCTTTCTGACAGTCCAAGAAAATGCAGTCTGCCCACTCTTCTCTTTCTTGCTTAATTTTTGTTGTTTGGTCATAGAATTCTATTAAACCTGTGAGGCACGATTTACTATCTCTGAACCCATGCTGGCAGTGTGTTACAAAGCCATTTCCCTCCAGATGCTGTATGAGCCTTTTCCTAACGAGCTTCTGCATCATCTTGCATGGTATACAAGTTAGGGAAATTGGCCTGTAGTTCAGTGCCTCTTGCTTGTCACCCTTTTTGTATATTGGGACTACATTAGCTGTCTTCCAGCTTTCTGATAGGTCTCCTGTTTCCAGTGACCTGTTGTACACCACAGAGAGTGTATAGCACTTAGTGTGTGGCACACTTAGGGCTTCTGCACCTTTCTTTAGTATCAACGGTGAGATTCTGTCAGGCCCCAACAGCCTTTGTCACATTTAGTTCCAACAGATTCCTTTAGATATCCTTTTGTGTGTTGATTTGATTTGATCCTTTTGTGTGTGTTTAATTGTGTACATGTGGTTGTATATATGTTATATATGTGTATATATATATATATATATATATATATATATATATATATATATATATATATATATATATATATATATATATATATATATATTATTAAATATGACCGAAAAAGTAAGATTAATAATTCTAACACGAATTTTCTCAATCTTTCGTACATTACGCTTCACTGTTGGAGATAAATCAAAAATCACTTCTCCAAAATTCATTTTTATTTCTAGTCTGACGCGACACGGGCGCGTTTCGTAAAACTTATTACATTTTCAAAGACTTCACAAATACACAACTGATTAGAACTTACGTATCTCTGATTTTATATCTACATTTGAGTGAGGTGGTAGGGGTGATGTGGCATTAACACAAGACAGAACAAGAGGGGATATTAATAGGGTATTAAAAGTATCAACACAAGACAGAACAGAAACAATGGGTATTGAATAGAAGTGTTTGTAGAAAGCCTATTGGTCCATATTTCTTGATGCTTCTATATTGGAGCGGAGTCTTGAGGTGGGTAGAATATAGTTGTGCAATAATTGGCTGTTGATTGCTGGTGTTGACTTCTTGATGTGTAGTGCCTCGCAAACGTCAAGCCGCCTGCTATCGCTGTATCTATCGATGATTTCTGTATATATATATATATATATATATATATATATATATATATATATATATATATATATATATATATATATATATATATATATATATATATATATATATATATGTGTGTGAGACTGTTTTCTGGCCACCTATTGATGCTTTTCCGTTCAGTGGTGCGTTTTCCACCGGCGACTGTGGTCGGGCTTCCCCCGGGTTAGTTTCCAGGTTCCTTTGGGTTCTTCGGATTCGTCTTTTGGAGGTTTTCCTCTCGGATTTCCTCTGTGGAGGTTCGGGAGGACTCTGGTGGTTACCCCCTGTTAGACCCGATCTTTGGTCCGTTGGGAGGTTCCTGGGAATTCCTGGCTTGCAGACTGCCCTTCCTCTCTCATGCTTCAGCCTGGGCCATTACTCTTCGGTTTTCCTCTTATTTTGCTTTTGGTACCAGCTTCTGAGCCGGTGCTTCCTCCGGAGTCTGGGGTGGGGGGGTCCGCTTCTCAGAGAGGGCACTGGCCCTTTCGCAGGTCGCCCCATTGATGGGACGATAGGGGAAGTCTTTCGCTGTTTTTCCACGCTTGGTCCCGCAATTCGTGGGTGTTTTGGGTCAAGTCTTCCGGCCTGCGGTGGCGTTGGACGGCTCTTCCTCCTCTCGGGAATTTGGGGCAGGCTTCTTCCCCCTTACATTATCAGGTCATCTTGGAGTGGCTGCACTTGGACGTGTTCGAAACAACCTCGTCCCTCAAGTGGGTTTCCCACTTGTTTCCAGTCTCGGAACAAGACTGAGCGGTTCTGCGGTTCATTCTGGACTTGTCCCGTCTGAACCACTGGATGCCTTGCCCCTCCTTTCGGATGACAACTCTGCCCCAGGTCCGGCTTCTCTTGGAGCCGTATAGGCACGTTCCTGTTCATCCAGGGTTCAGGGTCTGGTTAGGTTTTGTGGTGGGGTGTCAGGCTTACCGCTTTTGTTGCCTTCCTTTTGGGCTGAATCTGGCGCCTCGCGTTTTTCACACGTCTAACCCGGGTTGTGGTGGCCCGTCTGCATCTGCTAGGTGTTTGGTTTTTGGCCTACCTCGACGGCTGGTTGGTGTGGGCTCACAGTCAGTCCGTGTATCTGCTCGCCAGGGATTTGGTTCTTTCCCAGCTCGCCGGGTTCGGGTTCCTGGTGAACTGAAGGAAGTCCCTTCTGGTTCCATCTCTGGTTTGGACTTGGCTGGGCCTTGTCTACATCGCCCGCTTCCTCTTTGGACTTTTCAGGGTTCGGTGCTTTGGCACCTTCCGGAGCCCTGCCTTGGTGTGTTCACGGATGCCTCCTCTATAGGCTAGGGTTTTGTGACCAGTGCTCCCTGGGCCAGCCAGGGGCGACGGGCTCCATCCTTCCGTTGGCCTTACAGTGCAGTGTGGGACTTTGTGGCAGTGTGGCTTAAGCTGCATCGAATTCAGCTCGCTTGGAGCTTTACGATCCGGCTTCATTCGGACTCCACTGTAGTGATTCATTGTCTGAACCGCGGGAGGTTTCTGTGGACCATGGCTCTTTAGGGCTGGTCGCTTCAAGTGGCTCTTCTGCTCTCTCAGGGTTTAGCTCTCCGTGCAGTTCATATCAGAGACGTGCCCAACGTCCTAGCAGATGGCCTGTCGCAGCTCATTTCCTCTCCACGGAATGGACGGTCGGCGCTGACTCGTTCAATTGGCTCTGCCGGATGTTCGGGCCCATGGAGGTTCGGGCTCATCGCGTCGGCATGGTCGAAGCGTCTCCTTGTCTGTGGCGCCCTACCCCGACTGCGAGCCACTGCGGTAGACGCTTTTCGGCAGGTTTAATAATAAATCCCATTTTCAGAGATTATTTCTAGTTTAAAGATGGCATATTGAACATAAGAATAAAAAATGCAGAAGGCCTTTTGGGGGTGACAATACGACATTTTCTAATTACACCCATGTTGTACCAAAAATTAACGACCACTGTGAAAATGAAATAATCTGCAGAAGGCCTATACATAAGAAGCAAGGAAAAATCACAATGTTCGCGCTGGTATTTGCCCCTGTCTTACCTAATGTTGGATAAATACTCCAATTAATGACCCCCATTCATACCAGTTTTCCACTTGTATCTCTCATTCATGCCACTCAATTAGAGGCAATGTGCAGAAGACCCCTATTAATACCCCATTTTATACCCATTCATTATATCTCCACCTAACTATAGAAGGGCTTACTTATTCAAATACTTTTAGTAGAGGCTAATTAAATTGTGAAAGATTGGTAGTACATTCAGCTAAAAGATTGTTTATTCGTACCTAATATTTATAGTGTATAGCCAAAGATGGCTTATAGAGCAAAAGAATGTATGAAACAGCCCACCTCCCATTCATATTAATGATAGAAGATAAGAGTCTGGACTGACAAGTGTCTCACGCGTTTAGAATAAAAATCTCAAAGTCCCTCAATATAAAGATCATGACACAATGCCTTGTTGAAATCTCCAAATCAAAACCAAATAACATACGAAAATTGTATATGTTAAAATATATGCAAAGACCTGTAACACCGATCAGGAATTTCATTTGCAATGAATATCAGACCACTAGATGGTGTACCTGGCGGTTACCTAGTCTCTCCAGCCCCCCACTAGATGGTGTACCTGGCGGTTACCTAGTCTCTCCAGCCCCCCACTAGATGGTGTACCTGGCGGTCTCTACCTAGTACCTAGTCTCTCCAGCCCCCCACTGTACCTGGCTCCAGCCCCCCACTAGATGGTGTACCTGGCGGTTACCTAGTCTCTCCAGCCCCCCACTAGATGGTGTACCTGGCGGGTTAGCCCCCCACTAGTACCTGGCGGTTACCTCCAGCCCCCCACTAGATGGTGTACCTGGCGGTTACCTAGTCTCTCCAGCCCCCCACTAGATGGTGTACCTGGCGGTTACCTAGTCTCTCCAGTTACCTAGTCTCTCCAGCCCCCCCACCCCCCACTAGATGGTGTACCTGGCGGTACCTAGGCCCCCCACTAGATGGTGTACCTGGCGGTTACCTAGTCTCTCCGGTTACCTAGTCCCCCCACTAGATGGTGTACCTGGCGGTTACCTAGTCTCTCCAGCCCCCCACTAGATGGTGTACCTGGCGGTTACCTAGTCTCTCCAGCCCCCCACTAGATGGTGTACCTGGCGGTTACCTAGTCTCTCCAGCCCCCCACTAGATGGTGTACCTGGCGGTTACCTAGTCTCTCCAGCCCCCCCACTAGATGGTGTAGTCTCTCCAGCCCCCCACTAGATGGTGTACCTGGCGTTACCTAGTCTCTCCAGCCCCCCCTAGATGGTGTACCTGGCGGTTACCTAGTCTCTCCAGCCCCCCACTAGATGGTGTACCTGGCGGTTACCTAGTCTCTCCAGCCCCCCACTAGATGGTGTACCTGGCGGTTACCTAGTACCTCTCCAGTCTCTCCAGCCCCCCACTAGATGGTGTACCTGGCGGTTACCTAGTCTCTCCAGCCCCCCACTAGATGGTGTACCTGGCGGTTACCTAGTCTCTACCAGTCTCTCCAGCCCCCCACACTAGCCCCCCACTAGATGGTGTACCTGGTGTACCTGGCGGTTACCTAGTCTCTCCAGCCCCCCACTAGATGGTGTACCTGGCGGTTACCTAGTCTCTCCAGTTACCCCCCACCCCCCCCCCAACCACTTTGGCTGGACGGTAGAGCGACAGTCCCTCTTCTTGCAGGTCGGTGTTCAATCCCCGACCATCCAAGTGGTTGGGCACTATTCCTTCCTACTCTATCCCATCCCAAATCCCTATCTTGATCCCTTTCAAGTGCTTCATAGTTATGATGGCTTTACGCTTTCCTCTTATCTTACCTTACCTCCTCCTCCCTCCCTTCTGTCATCTAAATTTGTCTATGATGGCATCATTTACAGACGTTATCTGTAAATAATTTAATGTTAATATATTTAACTTCAAAAGCACCTAACTATCCTTTGTTATAACAACTTGATACATAGGTTCAAGAGCGCCTCAGTAAAACCCTCATATAGGTTAATATGAAAATGTGGTACAAACCTGCTAGATAGTGTATATTATGAGAGAGAGAGTTGGGAAATAGGCAGTTGTAGACGGTGACCACGAGGGAAGAATGAGGTAGTGGATTATAATCAATGTTATGACCCATCAGGCAGATGTTTTTGGGACATGTGAGGTTCATTACAAGCATGAAGACTCTCGGACGGTGACCTGGCGTGACCTGACCCGGTGCTCACAGTTCTCCCTGGAGCTGGCCCTCGGCGCCCACCAGCTCCCCCTCCTTCACCTGGTATGTACATAATCTCACTTACAATTCCCACTGGTGGTTCAGAATTGGTCATTTATTATTTTTATTCTTCTTCTTCTTCTTCTTCTTATTATTATTATTATTATTATTTTCTACCACAGACGTGGCCACACATTTACAATGCTAACCAGCATATATACATTTTCTTCTGTCCTCCATGGACAGGGTTAGAGATGTGTTAAGCATATAGTTCAGGGGTTTATTGAATAATCAACCACAGAAGGTGATGCGGTGTTTTTAAAATGCTAAGTTAACCTACATACGTAAATACATTGATACACAGATTTACGTATGCCCTACATAAAGTGTTTGATGTGTCTTTTACATAGTGTCATTAATGTGCATTTACAGAGGTGAAATGTAATTCTGATCAGCTTCCATACATACTTTATACACATACATATACATACACACACACATATACGTACATATACATATATACATACATATATACACACACATGCATTCACATACATTTGTCTCTTTTACTCTGACAGGGTGAGATAGCTGATAGAGAAACTAGTGTGCAATTAAGCACTTAATCACTGAAGATGATTAAGGTGCTTTTACAAGCTCAGGTTATATAGTTACATCATATGCATACTTTGTATAATTGATACATCACATGGTTAATCTTGGGTACAAGTCCAATATATCATCAAGTGTTCCAGTACTCATATAGTAATTACACAGTTCAGCATACCAGCTGAACTTTCGCCCAGGAGGGCGAAAGTCAATCAATATGGGACATTTTACAATATAATGTTCAAGAGAGTGCATGTTTTCTCTTTCACAAAGTTGACACATTTTGTACTCGACATTTGGATTTTGAGAAAGCTGTCAGATACGTTTATATCCCAGGCGTATTCTGGCCACTATAATATCACATTGCCGGGTTCTTGTTCTATTAGTCCCATATGTGAATGTCTCCTCACGATATCTATCATAATATTTAATGCTACAACTTTCAGATCTTTGTGAATTTGTTAGGTCGGGGAGATCTTCATTAGATATTTGTTTAAGTATTCTCTTTGTCACTGCTAATGAAACACCCATATCAATTTCTACCACTGGTTTTCTGCAGGCTGTCTTAGCAAGCATATCAACAGTGTCATGCCTTGAGATGCCAACATGTGATGGTATCCATAGGAATTTAATTTCAAATCTGTTTTCTTTAGCAGCTAAAACATTCATTCAAATATCACTGACTATTTTCTGGTTGTTACTACTATGTGCGTTCAATGCGAGGAGTGCACTCTGCGAGTCCACTGCCTTTGTCTTTTAAAAATTCAGTGGCCAGGTATATGCCTGCAAGTTGGTCATGGGTGTAAAGCTACACTTGCAAGGTATCATATATATGTATATGATACCTTGTATATGATATATAAGTATATGGAGCACCACTTGGCAAATTGAATTTAATGTTAATAAATGCCATGTTATGGAATGTGGAATAGGAGAACATAAACCCCACACAACCTATATATTATGTGAGAAATCTTTAAAGAATTCTGATAAAGAAAGAGATCTAGGGGTGGTTCTAGATAGAAAACTATCACCTGAGGACCAGATAAAGAATATTGTGCGAGGAGCCTATGCCACACTTTCTAACTTCAGAATTGCTTTTAAATACATGGATGGCGATATACTAAAGAAATTGTTCACGACTTTTGTTAGGCCAAAGCTAGAATATGCAGCGGTTGTGTGGTGCCCATATCTTAAGAAGCACATCAACAAACTGGAAAAGGTGCAAAGACATGCTAAGTGGCTCCCAGAACTGAAGGGCAAGAGCTACGAGGAGAGGTTAGAGGCATTAAATATGCCAAAACTGGAAGACAGAAGAAAAAGAGGTGATATGATCACTACATACAAAATAGTAACAGGAATTGATAAAATCGATAGGGAAGATTTCCTGAGACCTGGAACTTTAAGAACAAGAGGTCATAGATATAAACTAGCTAAACACAGATGCCGAAAAAATATAAGAAAATTCACTTTCGCAAACAGAGTGGTAGACGGTTGGAACAAGTTAGGTGAGAAGGTGGTGGCGGCCAAGACCGTCAGTAGTTTCAAAGCGTTATATGGCAAAGAGTGCTGGGAAGACGGGACACCACGAGCGTAGCTCTCATCCTGTAACTACACTTAGGTAATTACACACACACACACACACACACACACACACACACACACACACACACACACACACACACACACACACACACACACACACACACACACACACACACACACACACACAGTGTTGTATTGTATGGAGTGAAAGGTATGAGGTGTGTGAAGAGGTGAGGTAAAGGTGTGTAAGACGTGAGGTGTGACCAACAGATGGTAGACGTGGCAGGCAGCAGCTCGGGCTGTGAGTACCGGTGGCGAGGCGGGGTCGGGGCCGTGCTGGACAGTCTCCACTGCTCAGACACGCTACTGTTGGCGCCAAGATACTCCAGTAGTGCTGCCAGCGTGCTCAACATCACCCTCAGCACCTCCCTCACGCACACAGCCACCGCCCCCTTCAACTCTGCTGATCATGAATGTAAGTCTTAGCTAAGAATGTCTCTCGTTTCAAGATTTTACCAGATACTTACAGAAAAAAACATATATCTATTGGTGTTGGGTTATCAGTCATTCCTCTCAGCATCAGAGATCTTCCAATGTTTGCACCCAGAGGTAAAAATTAATCATTTTGTGTTTGGTAATAAGAATTATTACTTAACTCTGCTCGAGGAAATTTCTTAGACACAAGAGCATTTGACATAAGTTTTATTGTTTTTATCGTATCGGCAAATTTATTCCTGAGCGTAATATTAACTTAATATGACCTTCCCCACTACCTTTCCAGCCCGTTGCCGTCGTGAGGGGGCTTGGTGGGCGGCTGCCGGGGTGTGATGCTCCTTGGGACAATCCTCTGTCCTTTTGGAGCCTTATGCTCCTGTTGCTGTCTTCTCAAATTGTGCTGGATGCCTGTTCCTCTTTCTTATGTTTCATTTTTCCTCCCCCTTCTCCTTTCTGAGTGTTAGTTCCTGCCGAATTTTTGACATTCTTGATTATTCAAGAATGGCAAAAAGTGTTTGTGGAGGCACACTCTCACCCGTAAAACTGTGGTACCCCGACGTTGTGAGAGCGAGGGGACGCTTTTATTGTCAAACTTTGCCTTTGTTGCTGAACCGGATCTCGACAGACTGACGGTTCTTAAGCTGGCGATTGCTGGGTGTATACCCACGTTGCACCCCTGGAGGGCCACCGCCATCTTGTCGGGTATCCTTTCCTCTAACTGTGGTTCTATGGTGGGTATGGGAACATGTTCGTGGATCAAATATTTGCCTATTCGTTTAGATGCCGATGCCTGACCCTCTTTAAACTTCTCAGGCTCGAGGGGTGGGCGACCAGGCCATCGAGTCAGACTGTAATGGAAGGCCGGGCTCTGTAGCCCCATTTACATTCGGCCCAGACTAAGCTGCTTCTCTGATTCTACCGACTACCCATCTCTGCTCCCCTCCCCCACCTCTCTTTCAAGGTTGAGCCCCATGCCCCCAGTGGTGACCACCTCATCACCTGGAGTGACTACATCTCTTATTGTAACATCTGTCTCTTTTACCCCTCACCCCCTCCTACTGGGAGTATTTGGTGCTGTCACTTCAGCAATCACATGTGCATCTTTCCTTTCAGTTCTACTACATTCCAAGCTTTGTTTGGTCCTGCTACATGGACTAAGTAATATGATCTGTCATGTTGATTCTACACATCCTGATGATTTATTCATTCATAAACACCTAGTTGATTCAGTGGATACTTTTGACAATTTTAACCCCACTCGTACTCGTACTGGTACATGTGTCGTTGCAGCCCCTTCTCGCGAAACGGCTGACTGCTTAGCCTCATTGTCCTGCATTGGGGGAGACCCCGGTTCGGATTTCCAAAAATTCCCGGTTAAATGCCAGCATTGACACAGTTATTCTCCTGCACCATGTTGTGACTGGTGATAGGAAACTGAAAGACTGCCACAAGGATATCAAACATGTCCTTGAGGCCCAAGACCATTCTATCCTTTAGACTGATACCTTCACTCGACCCCTCTCGTGGTGGTCGTCGTCAGCCTCTTCGCATAGTGAAGATCACTTTTGATAGTAGGACCCTTCCATCTTCTGTCATTCTTGCTGGTGTCAGATGCTCCGTTAAGGAGTACATTCCCTATCCTCACCTCTGCTATAGGTGCTGGAGATTTGGACATGGTCCCCTGCAGGTGTGCAAAGCAGGTGTCTGTGCCTCTTGAGTGGAGACTCAGGTCATTATAAGACAGTGCTCTTCTTTCCAAGCTCACTGCATCAATTGTGGTGGCGCCTACCCTACCTTCTCCCGCGCATGTGTGCACTACAAATTTAAGGAAGCCATCCTCAATTTTAAACATCGCAATCATTTATCTTTTCCTAAGGCGAGACGCCAAGTATGCAGTCTTTCCATTTTCTCCGGAATGTCTTATGCTCATGCGTTGCATTCTACTTCTTCTCGCTCTCTCACATTTTTTCAGTTTCGCAACCGTTTCGAGCCCTTGGACCCGGACACCTCCACCACCACCTCACCTGCTCCTTTGCGTTGTGAGCCCGAAGGTCTTCCTCCTAGTTCTTCGTCTGGTGTTTCCTTCCTTCCTTCCACCTCTGCCCTGTCTTCTGTGCCCTCTTTCTCTTCTTGCCCAATCCATCTTCTCAACCTCCCTCTGTCATGTGGTCCTCCACAATGTCTGTCCATCCAGGCCGTTGTCCATCCTTCTCCCAGCCATGTTCATGTTTCCCGCTCCCGTTCTCCTTCTCCTGTTGAGACTGTCGAGGCTGTCGTCCAATACATTGCTGTTGGTACACCTGTCTCTTTATGTCCGGAACGTAAATCTGACTCCTCCCTTTCCTCACCGGCAGGTAAGAAGGCATTGCTCTCTTCCCCACCTTTCATCCCGGACTCTATTCCTTTATCCGCTCCCATTTCAGTGGCGGAGTCCCCTGCCTCAGCTATAAAGGTTCCTATGGTCCTCGATTCTCTTGGATGCTGCCCTAAATCCAGTTCACTCCTCTATTTGTTACCCTTCCCCCCCCCCTCCCCCAGATTCCCTTGACCGCACCTCTTCAATGCCTCCTCCCACTCCGGACTCTGTCAGTCCACCACTGGTCATCCCACTGCTCCCTTGACTCCATCGTCCTTGCTAGATTTACCTATTCCCCATAACCCAGATTTCACTGATTCTGATCTTGCTTAGTATACTGTGTTCTTCTTTGCCTTTGTTTCTCCCTTGCTCTCTGTTTGTTATCTCTTTTTTAACAATGTATATTCTTCAATGGAATACTAGTGGATTTTATGCCAACTTCCATGAACTCCAACCTCTGATAACGCAGTTTTCATTACTTTGTGTCTGTCTTCAGGACAGACACAAAGCTTGGCCGATGAGTAGTGCATGTCTTGGTCACTTTCGTGATTATTCCTCTCTCTTCTTCCCTCCAGTTTTTGCTGGCGCCCATAGCTCTACTGCTCTCTTGATCCGTCTTGATATTCTTTTCGTCCCCCTACTTTTTCAGTCGCGCATTCGGTGTTCTGCGGCCCATATCTTTGTGATTAAATGGTATACAGTTTGCTCCATTTATCTTTCCCAAAATGTCCCACCTTCTCTTCCTGATCTTGAACATCTGTTGGACTCCTTACTGTGCTCCTTTTGGGTGTTTTTAATTGTTGGCATACCCTCTGGAGCGATGTTCTGACAAATACCCGGGGCGTCCTTCATGAACCATTTGTCCTATCTTCTTTTCTCTTCTGAATTCAAGTAAACCCACTCATGTCAACTCACACACTCGCACCTTCTCCTGTCTTGATCTTTCTCTCTGCTCATCTTCTCTTAATTTAGATTTCACATGGTGGGTTCTTGATGACCTCTATAAGCGACCATTTCCCCATCCTGATCACTTTTTTCTATTTTCACCCTCACCTCTCCTTCCCTAGGTGGCAGCTTGCCAAAGCTGACTGAAATCTATTCGCCCTACATGCCACTCTTTCTATTCTTTCCGATCTGCCTCTCCCTCAAGCCCTCCCCCTTTTTAATGACACCATATCAGATGCTGCCCTCCACTCTGTTCCTTGCTCTACCTTCCTTGGCACGCAAAGTACATTCCCTGGTGGAATACAGACTATGCTCGGGCTGTCCGCCATAAGCGTACAGCCTGGAAGAAACATCGACGGCATCAAACGGCTGCTTCTTTTCTTTTGTTTTGGAAGGCGAGTGCGGTGGCCCGTAGGGCTGTACGGCTAAATGTGAGAGTTGGAAATCTTATGTCTTCGCCATTACGACCGACACTTCTCTGCCCTTGATCTGGAAGAAAATTCGTAAGATAGCTGGTATATTTGTTCCAGATGTCTCGCCAATCCTTCACCTCCATGGTTCTATTGTGGCAGATCCAGTGTCAATCGTGTCCAAACTGTGTTCTCACTTTTCGACTATTAGCTCTGGTTCTCATCTTCTTTTATTTGTAAGCCCCTTCTTGAATCGTGTCCCTGAGATTTTTGCACGCATCTCCAGCTTCCCTATAACGATCCCTTCTCTCCTCTCTCTCTCTCTGAACTCCAGTCTGCCCTGACCCTCTATGGTTCAATGGCAGCGGGCTCAGATAACATTCATCATGAGATGCCTTGCCATCTCCCCCCCATGCACGGTTCAGTATTTACCCAATCTGTGTAATCTTATCTGGGAATCGTCGTCAGTCCCTGAGGACTGGTTTGAGGCCGTTGTTCTTCCTATTCGGAAACCAGAATCTCTAGGGGCATTCCTTAAGGACTTCCACCCCATTGCCCTCACAAGTTGGGTCTGCAAACTCTTGAACGTATGGTCAATGCTCATCTCAATTTGGCTTTTGCAAGTATTGCAGTATGACTGATGTCTTGGTGAATTTGTAGGTCAATATTCGAACTGCCTTTGCTGCAAAGATCTGTGTTGTTGATGCTGTTCTTTTTGACCTGGAAAAGGCGTATGACATTACCTGGAGATACCATGCTCTGCCCCAACTCCGTTCTTTTGGCCTTCCTGGCAATCTCCCTCTCTTCCTACAAGGCTTCCTCTCTAGTCGTTCCTTTAGTGAGGCTTGGTGTCACTCTCTCTGCCTCTTTCGCCAATACGAAGGTGTACCTCATGGTAGTATTCTGATCACTACTCGTTTCCTGGTTGCCCTGAATGTTCTTTCCTCCTTCCCCTCTGGCATTTTCTCTGCTCTCTATGTTGACGATCTTACCCATTCCTGTCACTGTGATGACTCGCCTTCCCTTTATCGACGGCTTCAACTTGAGATTGATGCCGTGTCGTCCTGGGCCACCAATCATGGCTTCAAGTTCTAAACAATTAAAACTTGTGCTATGACTTTTACTCGAAAGCAGGTCATTCTTCGTCCCCCTTTGTCACTTTATGGTAATCCCCTTTTGTACAAAGATTCTGCTAAGCTTTTGGGGCTAATCTTTGACAATCGTTTGTCTTACCTCCAAGTTGAATGCTCTAAAGCCCTTAACTTAAGGTCTTATCCCATACTTCCTGGGGAGCTGATGGATGCACGCTCCTCTCTTTACATTCCTCTCTTGTGCTGTCTAAACATGATTATGTTTGTCTTGCTTACTCGTCTGTTTCTCCCTCAACTCTTCGTAGTCGTGATGCTCTGCACCATACTGGGTTATGCCTTAGGCTCAGTTGCCTTTCGTTCGACTCCTACCCTAAGCCTGTATGTTGTAACCGGCGTCCTCTCTCTCCAGGATCACCGTGATCGCTTCTGTTAGCGGTCTGTCGCTACCGTGTGCTGACCTTGCAACACCCTCACTGTCGCCCATGTCGTGCCTTGACCGTTACCCCCCTCCCCCTCCCCCCCCGCTTTACCTATAATCCCTGTTCTCTTTCACCTCCCCTACATTTTTCTGTATGGTTGTCTAGCCTGCATGGTTCTCTTTTGGTTCACGTTACCAATATTTTTTCTCCTGTCGTTCCGTCGTCTCCCCATGGAGGTTTCTCCTTCCTAAGTTCTGTAAAACCCTAACCCACGTGACTAAAGTTAATACTCTTCTAACAGTTCTGAAGTTCCTTTTCCGTGTGCCCTTTTCCTCGCACTCCTGCTCCATCTCCGTCTTCACAGATGGGTCTCTCTGCAAATGGTGTAGTCTACTGTTGTTTTACCTGACCACACACCTATGTGTCACCTGCATCCAGATTTTAGCATCATCACTGCAGAACTTTCTGCTATTGTGTGCTCTGACAACTGCTTCATCGTTGTAAATCTTCCTTTGTTGTCCTCATGGCTCTGGAGTCCTTTAATCCAGTCCATCCTGTGGTAGTAGAAATTCAACATTGGGTGCTCATCTCCAACAGATTTAAGACAGTGGAGTTTTGCTGGGTTCCCAGGTAAATTGGTGTGTCCTTAAATGAGCTTGTGGATGCTGCCCCTAAGGAGGTTATCAGCATTTGTCCCATCTCCCGCATAGGTGTTCCTTGTTTCGACTTCAACCCGGTTATTCATTCCTCAGTCCTAGCCCGTTGGCAGGGTCGTTGGTCTTCTGTTACTGGTAATAAATTGCGTGCTCTTAAGGGTAGCGTGTCCTAATGGTCTTCCTCCTACCACCGTAACCGGCAGTGAGGAATCGGCTCTGGCGAGGTTGTGTATTGGCCATACACGTTAAATTCACGGGTTCTTAATGGATCGACGTTCTGCTCCTTATTGTCCAAACTGCATTGTCCATCTTACGGTCGTGCATATCCTTGTTGAATGTCCTGACTTTCAGGACGAGCGTACTTCTTGCTTCCCGACCGTCCCTTGCTGTCACCTGTCCCTTGATAGCATTCTTGGTGTACCGGACACCTTTGATGTTGTTCGCCTTATGCGCTTTTGTTCTCGTATTGACATCCTTAGTGATATTGAGCGCCTTTTGAATATCCCGCACATTTGATGGTGCTACATAGCCTTCCCGGCTTGGTGCCTTCTTTTGATAATTACTTACAATATAATCTTTCTAATATAATATAATCTATAATCTTGTTAATATAATCTTACTAATAGTTAGCCTTATATTTAGTAGAAGTAGTGCATAGTTTGCTGTCTTATTCCTAACAAAAATAATAAGATTTCTAAATATTTGAAAGAGAGTAAAGTAAAAAAAATCCAAAAAACAACTCCCAAAAATTAATTGTGAGCATTTGTTGATAAATGAGGAATGTGGAGTTTTGTTTCCCGACTGGAAGTAGTGTTATTAAAGACGACGTTTCGTCTGTAAGGTTTTTATTTATTTCTGAGAAATTACTCACCACAAATGTAGAGATAAACGAAGAACATATTTTTCAGACATTCAAGAAGCGACGGAAACAACAGACCTGACGTATCAACTTCCGTCATATCAGGAAGACGGTAAGATGATAATTATGCTGCTTGCACCAAGTACACTGAGATACACATTCATATTCCCACCCTTAAGCGACAATCGTTGTGACTACCTATCGCTTCTTCTAGGCGAAGATGAGCTGGCGGAGCTGGTGGAGGAGGTGTGCTCAAGTGAAGGTGACGGACGTCTTACAGGCGACGTCTTGCAGAAGATGTCACAGCTGTTGAAGGTTCTCTCTCGCACCAGGGCCGAGATGCCTCGCCTAGCTCCCACCTGCCCCGCTAACGTCAGGTAAACTTGTTATATTGTAAACTCACATTTATACTGTGTACAGGGTGAGGTGTGTGCAGGCGATGAGTCACAATAACGTGGCTGAAGTATGTTGACTAGACCACACACTAGAAGTTGAAGGGACGACGACGTTTCGGTCCGTCCTGGACCATTCTCAAGTCGACTTGAGAATGGTCCAGGACGGACCGAAACGTCGTCGTGTGTGTGTGTGCATAGTCTTCATGTGGTCCGTTGACCTTTGTCTCCTTGTTACAAGGATACATGCTCCAGACTCCAGGATACATGCTCCAGACTCCAGGATACATGCTCCAGACTCCAGGATACATGCTCCAGACTCCAGGATACATGCTCCAGACTCCAGGATACATGCTCCAGACTCCAGGATACATGCTCCAGACTCCAGGATACATGCTCCAGACTCCAGGATACATGCTCCAGACTCCAGGATACATGCTCCAGACTCCAGGATACATGCTCCAGACTCCAGTCACCGAGGAATGAACACTCAAAATAAATTTGCATAACATAGTATTAAATTATCCTGCCATTGAGCTCCCACTATTTAAAGAAGGTACAATGGCTTTGAGAGATTACATAATACTGATGATTTTACATTCTTGGAAAGCCACTAAGACGCATAGCATTACGGGCAGGAACTATTCCCCTGTATTCACCTAGTACTCACCTAGCACTCACCTAGTACTCACCTAGTACTCACCTAGTACTCACCTAGTACTCATCTAGTACTCACCTAGTACTCACCTAGTACTCACCTAGTACTCACCTAGTACTCACCTAGTACTCATCTAGTACTCACCTAGTACTCATCTAGTACTCACCTAATACTCACCTAGTACTCACCTAGTACTCACCTAGTACTCATCTAGTGCTCCCCTAGTACTCACCTAGTACTCATCTAGTACTCACCTAGTTATCACCTAGTACTCATCTAGTACTCACTTAGTTCTCATCTAGTACTCACCTAGTACTCATCTAGTACTCACCTAGTACTCATCCAGTACTCACCTAGTACTCATCTAGTACTCACCTAGTACTCATCCAGTACTCACCTAGTACTCACCTAGTACTCACCTAGTACTCATCTAGTACTCACCTAGTACTCATCTAGTACTCTCCTAGTACTCGCCTGTCTGCCTCTTCTCAGGTTACGTGTTTGGCTTTAGGCCTGTGAACCGCGGATAATTCATTAAGCCAACCACAATAGTTTACTAACCAGCCAGCAAGAAGACTTCCGTCCAAAACACAGTTCAGGACTAAGGTAAACTCGCAGAATGTGTACACCAAAAAGCGGGTTACCTCTCGCTGCGAGCTCCCTTCTTGAGCTGGCTAGTTTACAACAGTTTACTGGCGACTGACGACGTGTTAGAATATCACCCGTCAATATTTCTGGGGCACCAGGAATTAGTAATTTGCTCTCCGATGTGGTACATGAGGGTACAGTGACGACGATGTGGTACATGACGGTACAGTGACGACGATGAGGTACATGACGGTACAGTGACGACGATGTGGTACATGAGGGTACAGTGACGACGATGGGGTACATGACGGTACAGTGACGACGATGAGGTACATGACGGTACAGTGACGACGATGGGGTACATGACGGTACAGTGACGACGATGAGGTACATGACGGTACAGTGACGATGATGGGGTACATGACGGTACAGTGACGATGATGGGGTACATGACGGTACAGTGACGACGATGGGTACATGACGGTACAGTGACGACGATGAGGTACATGACGGTACAGTGACGATGATGGGGTACATGAGGGTACAGTGACGACGATGGGGTACATGACGGTACAGTGACGACGATGGGGTACATGACGGTACAGTGACGACGATGAGGTACATGACGGTACAGTGACGATGATGGGGTACATGACGGTACAGTGACGACGATGGGGTACATGACGGTACAGTGACGACGATGGGGTACATGACGGTACAGTGACGACGATGTGGTACATGACGGTACAGTGACGAAGATGTGGTACATGACGGTACAGTGACGACGATGAGGTACATGACGGTACAGTGACGATGATGTGGTACATGACGGTAGAGTGACGACGATGTGGTACATGACGGTACAGTGACGACGATGTGGTACATGACGGTACAGTGACGAAGATGTGGTATATGACGGTACAGTGACGACGATGTGGTACATGACGGTACAGTGACGACGATGTGGTACATGACGGTACAGTGACGACGATGAGGTACATGACGGTACAGTGACGACGATGTGGTACATGACGGTAGAGTGACGACGATGAGGTACATGACGGTACAGTGACGACGATGTGGTACATGACGGTACAGTGACGACGATGTGGTACATGACGGTAGAGTGACGACGATGTGGTACATGACGGTACAGTGACGAAGATGTGGTATATGACGGTACAGTGACGACGATGTGGTACATGACGGTACAGTGACGACGATGTGGTACATGACGGTACAGTGACGAAGATGTGGTATATGACGGTACAGTGACGAAGATGTGGTACATGACGGTACAGTGATGGTACATGACGGTACAGTGATGGTACATGACGGTACAGTGATGGTACATGACGGTACAGTGATGGTACATGACGGTACAGTGATGGTACATGACGGTACAGTGATGGTACATGACGGTACAGTGATGGTACATGACGGTACAGTGATGGTACATGACGGTACAGTGATGGTACATGACGGTACAGTGATGGTACATGACGGTACAGTGATGGTACATGACGGTACAGTGATGGTACATGACGGTACAGTGATGGTACATGACGGTACAGTGATGGTACATGACGGTACAGTGATGGTACATGACGGTACAGTGATGGTACGATACATAGTGGGATGTACAACTCAGTGGCAAGTTTTGGGGCCCAGGAAAGTAGACACTTTAGTGGCAAGTTTCAAGTTTTAGTGGGAGCTCCTGCCTGATCACCTTATCAAAGTACACATAACCTCTCCTTCAATACTCGTGTTTACCTCTCTGTGTAAATAATCACTCATTCGTTAATTATCACACGGTCATAACACACCTTATCTTCCCCCTCCCCCCATGCCCCCCCCCCACGCCCGTCCGCTCTCTTATCTCCCTCTTACTCCAACTCTCCCTCTCTCCCTCCTTTCTTTCCTCCATATCTCCCCCTCTCCCCTCCCCCTAACCCTGCACCAACTCTCCCCCTCAGCTGACCCCTTCCCCAACTCGCCCAACCCTCCCCTCTCAAGAATGTAAAATTTAGTTGTTGTTCAATAATCTTACTGTACTCGTCTTCTCCCCATTTTCTTAAACTATCCTTCCAAATGTCTACTCCACATTTTCTCCGGTTACTACGTTCTCTACATGTTCTGCTAATGTTCACAGCATGTTCTCTGCAAGTTCAATTCATATTTTCACCTGTTTCTCCATGTTCTTCGCATCCTCTTTCATGTTCTCAACAAATTCCCCTCATGTTCTGTGTTTTTTCATATTCTACATGTTCTCAGAATGTTCTTCACAAGTTCGTTGTTCATCCTTTGTAGACTCTATATATTCTTTTTCATGTTTTCATGTTCTCTGCATGTTCATATTCACCGTATGTTCACTGTGTTCATCGATGTTCCCCACATGTTCACTGTGTTCATCGATGTTCCCCACATGTTCACTGTGTTCATGGATGTTCCCCGCATGTTCACTGTGTTCATCGATGTTCCCCACATGTTCACTGTGTTCATGGATGTTCCCCGCGTGTTCACTTTGTTCATCGAACTCTTACAGGTTCTTTAAAATCAAATATACAATTGCTTGTGTCCAGCAACTAGTTCTTTGTCAAATATTACCAACCTCATTACTCTTCCCCCAACAAATTTAGTTACAATTTATTAAGCTATTTACAAATTATTTATTACAATGTATTTATTTACTTATTTACCAAGGTTTATTTAAAAAAAAAAGTCAATATCTTTCTGCTTAACAACTTATTATTTCTTACCAACACTGTTCTTAAACAAATCTGCACTTTATACGGTAACAAACTTACCAAGACAATCTTTTCTTAACGTTTCTTAACTAAAATCATTCTTCCTTCAACTTTAGAAAGTCACGTTCGTCATTATTACATAATTTCTTAACTAAAATAACCCTTCAGTCAACTAAACATACTCATGTTCCTCACCTTGCAACACTTTTATAACAGCCTTTATGCATCGTGGAGTAAGAAAAAATAGCTAAAGGGATCTTGAAACAATGTTCTTAACTAAACTTATTCTTCACACAACTGAAAATAGGCAAGTGTAACTTCTTTCAACACTTTCTTAACTACCATTATACTTCATTTAACTTTAAATATATCAGATACATCATCTTCACATCATGTCTTAACTAATGTTACTATCCAATACATCTACTACTACTACTACTGCCACCACTACTATTCCTGCTACTGCTAGGTGTGCTACTACTACTGCCACCACTACTATTCCTGCTACTGCTAGGTGTGCTACTACTACTACTATTCCTGCTACTGCTAGGTGTGCTACTACTACTGCCACTACTACTATTCCTGCTACTGCTACGTATGCTACTACTACTGCCACTACTACTATTCCTGCTACTGCTACGTATGCTACTACTACTGCCACCACTACTATTCCTGCTACTGCTAGGTGTGCTACTACTACTGCCACTACTACTATTCCTGCTACTGCTACGTATGCTACTACTACTGCCACCACTACTATTCCTGCTACTGCTAGGTGTGCTACTACTACTGCCACCACTACTATTCCTGCTACTGCTACGTATGCTACTACTACTGCCACTACTACTATTCCTGCTACTGCTAGGTGTGCTACTACTACTACCACTACTACTATTCCTGCTACTGCTAGGTGTGCTACTACTACTACCACTACTACTATTCCTGCTACTGCTAGGTGTGCTACTACTACTACCACTACTACTATTCCTGCTACTGCTAGGTGTGCTACTACTACTACCACTACTACTATTCCTGCTACTGCTAGGTGTGCTACTACTACTACCACTACTACTATTCCTGCTACTGCTAGGTGTGCTACTACTACTACCACTACTACTATTCCTGCTACTGCTAGGTGTGCTACTACTACTACCACTACTACTATTCCTGCTACTGCTAGGTGTGCTACTACTACTACCACTACTACTATTCCTGCTACTGCTAGGTGTGCTACTACTACTACCACTACTACTATTCCTGCTACTGCTAGGTGTGCTACTACTACTACCACTACTACTATTCCTGCTACTGCTAGGTGTGCTACTACTACTACCACTACTACTATTCCTGCTACTGCTAGGTGTGCTACTACTACTGCCACTACTACTATTCCTGCTACTGCTAGGTGTGCTACTACTACTGCCACTACTACTATTCCTGCTACTGCTAGGTGTGCTACTACTACTGCCACTACTACTATTCCTGCTACTGCTAGGTGTGCTACTACTACTGCCACTACTACTATTCCTGCTACTGCTAGGTGTGCTACTACTACTGCCACTACTACTATTCCTGCTACTGCTAGGTGTGCTACTACTACTGCCACTACTACTATTCCTGCTACTGCTAGGTGTGCTACTACTACTGCCACCACTACTATTCCTGCTACTGCTAGGTGTGCTACTACTACTGCCACTACTACTATTCCTGCTACTGCTACGTATGCTACTACTACTGCCACCACTACTATTCCTGCTACTGCTAGGTGTGCTACTACTACTGCCACCACTACTATTCCTGCTACTGCTACGTATGCTACTACTACTGCCACCACTACTATTCCTGCTACTGCTAGGTGTGCTACTACTACTACCACTACTACTATTCCTGCTACTGCTACGTATGCTACTACTACTGCCACCACTACTATTCCTGCTACTGCTAGGTGTGCTACTACTACTGCCACTACTACTATTCCTGCTACTGCTACGTATGCTACTACTACTGCCACTACTACTATTCCTGCTACTGCTAGGTGTGCTACTACTACTGCCACCACTACTATTCCTGCTACTGCTAGGTGTGCTACTACTACTGCCACTACTACTATTCCTGCTACTGCTAGGTGTGCTACTACTACTACCACTACTACTATTCCTGCTACTGCTAGGTGTGCTACTACTACTACCACTACTACTATTCCTGCTACTGCTAGGTGTGCTACTACTACTACCACTACTACTATTCCTGCTACTGCTAGGTGTGCTACTACTACTACCACTACTACTATTCCTGCTACTGCTAGGTGTGCTACTACTGCTGTAACACTAATGCGTAGCTTACTTACAGGCAGCTGGTTGGTGTTGGGTCAGCGGTGGTGGGCGGCCCTCGCTTCCTGCACTTCTTCGTCACTCAGCTGGCTGTGAGTACCACTTTATCCTCACTCAGCTGGCTGTGAGTACCACTTTATCCTCACTCACCTGGCTGTGAGTACCACTTTATCCTCACTCACCTGGCTGTGAGTACCACTTTATCCTCACTCACCTGGCTATGAGTACCACTCATTCCTCACTCACCTGGCTGTGAGTACCACTTTATCCTCACTCACCTGGCTGTGAGTACCACTTTATCCTCACTCAGTTGGCTGTGAGTACCACTCATTCCTCACTCACCTGGCTGTGAGTACCACTTTATCCTCACTCACCTGGCTGTGAGTACCACTCATTCCTCACTCACCTGGCTGTGAGTACCACTCATTCCTCACTCACCTGGCTGTGAGTACCACTTTATCCTCACTCACCTGGCTGTGAGTACCACTCATTCCTCACTCACCTGGCTATGTGTGTACCACTCATTCCTCACTCACCTGGCTGTGAGTACCACTTTATCCTCACTCAGTTGGCTGTGAGTACCACTTTATCCTCACTCACCTGGCTATGTGTGGTCACTCCCCTGAACACAGGTGTGTGTGTTTTACAGGAGCTGTCGCGGGAGGCTGATGCTCCTGTGAGGATGGGCGAGGACCTGTTGTTCACCACGGCTCTGAGGAGCCTGGTCAGTAGCGACCACCCCGCCGCCCGCCACCTCCCACACGACTTCTTCCTGCGTCGGGAGAACCAGATGGTCTACGAGGAGGTGAGGTAGCCTCTTGTAGAGTTCTAGTGGGATACCCGGCATTGCCCGGGTGTCCCCTGTCTGTCTGTCTGTCTTTGTCTGTCTGTCTGTCTGTCTGTCTGTCTGTCTGTCTGTCTGTCTGTCTGTCTGTCTGTCTGTCTGTCTGTCTGTCTGTCTGTCTGTCTGTCTGTCTTTGTCTGTCTGTCTGTCTGTCTGTCTGTCTGTCTGTCTGTCTGTCTGTCTGTCTGTCTGTCTGTCTGTCTGTCTGTCTGTCTGTCTGTCTTTGTCTGTCTGTCTGTCTGTCTGTCTGTCTGTCTGTCTGTCTGTCTGTCTGTCTGTCTGTCTGTCTGTCTGTCTGTCTGTCTGTCTGTCTGCCTGTCCACCTATCTGTACATCCATCCATTCATATATCTATCCATATCTACCCATCCTTCTCGCTCCCTTGTCCCTTCCCCTCGTTCTCTCTCTCTCTCTTCTCCCCTCCAACCCCCATTTCTCACTTCTCTCAGCAAATATATTATGAAGAAGCACTCACACCACTGTATGGGGTCTCAGCAATTCTCACACCACTGTATGGGGTCTCAGCAATTCTCACACCACTGTATGGGGTCTCAGCAATTCTCACACCACTGTATGGGGTCTCAGCAATTCTCACACCACTGTATGGGGTCTCAGCAATTCTCACACCACTGTATGGGGTCTCAGCAATTCAACCTGTTCTCGGAGATGATATCCTCTGGAAGCAATAGATTCAAAGCCACTACATAATTACTGTTAATATCTATTCTGTCCCTGGTTAAGTTATTTTAAGGTTTGGTTAGGTTGGGTTAGGTTTCATTATTTTTGGTTACGTTAATACGATGTAATATTGTCCAAATTTATGAAATATGGAATTCGAAAACTAAGTGAATTTAGTTTACAGAAAACCAAATTTTTCAAACTGTTAAAAAAAAATTTATTCAGTATATATTTCTTACATTTTAAACAAACGATGTATAATGCAATAAAGTTGTAACATGAGAATATTCTGTTTAGGATAAAGGTTCACTTGCCAGTTTACAAGTACACTATTATTGGAACCTTAATAGTATGCATTTAGACCATCACAAATATCTAGATAGCTACCACTGTGGTTTGACATGGGGTTTGGTGTCTCGGTCTAATGGATTTGCTCTGAGAACGGGCTGAAGAAATTGTATTATGAAATTAAAACTCCATGTTAATCACACACCATATTTCGTGCTTGCCTCCATGAAAATGTTGGGTGTTTGTTATTGATAATATTACTTAAGGCATTTAACTTAAGTTTGTCGGGGTAGTTCTATGTCCGTCCCGCACCCCAGACCATTTCCCCTGCAAGTTTGGGTGAGGCTAGACTGCAATACTGAACAGAGTAACAGAAGTTACTCTTCTCTCACGGTATTGAGGGGGTACAAAAACTAATAGAATGACAACCTGTATTCCAGGTATATAGAATGAGACAGTATAGGTGGCTGGTGGTGTATCCTACACATGTGTTGTGACGAAGGCGGCTGGTACACTGTGAAACACTGGGTGCACTTAATAAACATAAGATAAAGGCCTGTAAATATTATGGCTTTGTACTCTTGGTAACAGCTTGGGTGACAGCTTCTTCCCCGTAACAACCTACCCTGGCTTTGCGCCCTGGAGAGGCCACTCCAGACCGACAACCAGAGCGCAACTCCATAGTCTCCTGAGACTGATGGATGCCTACTTCTTCTACTATTTCTACTGATTCATCCATAATCTTACCCGCCCTGAAGTTCCTGTACCCGCGCATCTAACATCAGACTACACGTTATCAAACAGTTGGAGTAGCCTAGTGCCAGATTGTTCATAGCTCTGCTATGTTTCTTCAATTGATTGTTTCGAAAATGCTGGGTTAAAATTGATTTTTCTTTTTTTTGGGAGATAATTTGTGTGTAACATACATTAATTCCTACAGTCGCATGTGTATTAACCGAGGCGGCTGTAGGTGAATACACATGCTTCCACCCATGCCCCCCTTGTTCTGTTTCATGCCCCCCTTGTTCTGTTGGTATTCAGTGTGAATATGCCAGCTATATCCACTCTGTTAATTCCCTAAGTATTTTATGTGTCTCTATCATGTTTTCTCGCCCCCTCCTTTTTTCCGGCGTCGTTAGGTTCATTTCTTAAAGTCGCTCATCATACCCCATCTCTTGTAACTCTGGGACGAGCCTAGTCGCAAACTTCTGAACCTTTACAGAACCTTTTCCTTGCGTATTTCTTCCAACTCATCCTCATGTTTAGATGTTAGTTTTTGTAACTGTGCGCCATAGTACAAACATTGACGTTCTAAGCAATTAGATAGTTGAACTTTGTACTATTCATTTTATAAAATCAGAAAAACTGAAACTCAAAAACAAACTTAAATATTCCTAGGCCTAGTATAGCACACATATGTATTATATTAGGCCTCAGATAGTGTGTATTAAGCCTAGGAAGATTAGGTTAGGTTAAATTAGCTTGTCTTTACATCATAAGCAGAAAATCGTTATCCGTTTTGTCCAAATTCAATAGTACATATTTCTCCTTTCTTATTGCGTTATATGTCGGTATGTGTACTATGGTCTTCTTCCTTACTATAAGTACTACCAAAACATGAGGATGGGCTGGTTTCTTCAGGTGGGGCCTCAATGATGGGGCTGCATACTCTAAGACTGGTCTCACGTAGGCAGTGTAAAGCGCTCTAAATGCCTCCTTATTTAAGTTTCTAAATTATGTCTAACTTTTGCTAGCGTAGAGTACGCTGCTGACGTTATCCAATTTGTGTGCCTCTGGAGTATGATGTGGTGTTACGTTCACTCCAAGGTCTCACGAGTCGTTACATTTAGCTAGTGTCCCGTTCATTGTGTACTATCCCTTTGGTCTCCCGTCTCATATTCCCTCCAACCATCTCTCATTTTTCTCCAGTCATCTCTGCAACTTGTTCAAGTTCTCTTGAAGGATCCTACAATCCGCATCTGTAACAACTCGTCTAATTAATTTTGCATCATCCACAAACATCGACATATTGGACAGAACTCCTGTAAACATGTCGCTTACGCAAATTAAAAATATGATTGGTTCCAGCACCGATCCCTGAGGTACTCCACTCGTTACTGCTCGCTAGTCCGACTTCTTATCCCCCTTACTGTTACTCTCTGTCTCCTGCCAGTTAGGTAATCCCTTACCCATGCTAGGGCTTTCTACTTTCTCCCGCCTGCCTCTCAAGTTTTCATAGTAATCTCCTGTGAAGTACTGTATTAAAGGCTTTTTGGCAGTCCAGAAATGTGCAATCAGCCCATCCTTCCCCGTCCTGCCTTATTCTTGTTACTTTATCATAGAGTTCCAGAGAGATTGTTCGGAATGATTTCCCTTCCCTGAACCCATGTTGGTGTTTGTTTACATATGTAATATTTTCTAAGTGTGTATTAAACCAGTCTTAACTTGATTATTTTTTCAAGTACTTTGCTGGAATGCTGTTAGTGATACTGGTTTGCAGTTCAGTACCTCTTCTTTCATTTCTTCAGAATTGTTACCACATTTGCCTTCTTCCAGCAACTGGGCAACTCTCCTTTCGTAAGCGACTCATTAGGGTTCCTTGCTAGAAGCACGGTGAGCGTCTGCGCTGCCTCTTTTAGTATCCACGGTGATACATTGTCTGGTCCAACTGCTTTAGTTTCATCCAGTGTTATCAGCCGTTTCATTACCACTTCTGTTGTCACTTCTATATCCCTTAGTCTCTCATCTTCGATCACCTCCTCAACTAACAATGGGAGCTGCTCAAGTTCGGTTGTGAACACTCCATGGAAACTGGCATTCAATGCCTCACAGATTTCCTTGTCGCTTTCTGTATATGCCACTTCTGTTTTCCTTAGTCTTGTCACTTGGTCGGTCACCAATATTTTCCTTCATATATGACGCAAATTATGTATTAATTTACGTTATTTTGTATAGCAATATTGTTCTCGTAATTTCTTGCCAATACACTCCTTATATTTACATATGCGTTCCTAGCTCTGTTGCATCTATTCCGGAATTCCTCTGTCCTTTATATCTTCCTCCTGCTTCTCATTTTGCTTCCTGGCACTGTCTATTAAACTATGGGTTTTTACATTCACTCCTATGTTTTTCTTTTACTGCTGGTATGAAACACACTTCGGCCTCCTTGCATTTCCATTTGACTAGGTCCATCATATCTTGTTCTTCTTAAGGTCTGCCTCCCACTGCACTGTTCCCAGATATTCCCTCTTCTTCCTCTGTGTGTGTGTGTGTACCTATCTAGTTGTACTTACCTACTTGTGCTTGCGGGGGATGAGCTCTGACTCTTTGGTTCCCGTCTTTCAACCGTCAATCAACTGATGTACAGATTCCTGAGCCTACTGGGCTCTATCATATCTACATTTAAAACTGTGTATGAAGTCAGCCTCCACCACATCACTACTTAATGCATTCCACCTGTTAACTACTCTGACACTGAAAAAGTTCTTTCTAACGTCCCTGTGGCTCATTTGGGTACTCAGTTTCCACTAGTGTGTGTGTGTGTGTGTGTGTGTGTACTCACCTAGTTGTACTCACCTAGTTGTGCTTGCGGGGGTTGAGCTCTGGCTCTTTGGTCCCGCCTCTCAACCGTCAATCAACAGGTGTACAGATTCCTGAGCCTATTGGGCTCTATCATATCTACACTTGAAACTGTGTATGGAGTCAGCCTCCACCACATCACTTCCTAATGCATTCCATTTGTCAACCACTCTGACATTAAAAAAGTTCTTTCTAATATCTCTGTGGCTCATTTGGGCACTCAGTTTCCACCTGTGTCCCCTAGTGCGTGTGCCCCTTGTGTTAAACAGCCTGTCTTTATCAACCCTGTCGATTCCCTTGAGGATCTTGAATGTGGTGATCATGTCCCCCCTAACTCTTCTGTCTTCCAACGAAGTGAGGTTTAATTCCCGCAGTCTCTCCTCGTAGCTCATACCTCTCAGCTCGGGTACTAGTCTGGTGGCAAACCTTTGAACCTTTTCCAGTTTAGTCTTATGCTTGACTAGATATGGACTCCATGCTGGAGCCGCATACTCCAGGATTAGTCTGACATATGTAGTATATAATGTTCTGAAAGATTCCTTACACAAGCTTCTAAAGGCCGTTCTTATGTTAGCCAACCTGGCATATGCTGCTGCTGTTATCCTCTTGATATGAGCTTCAGGGGACAGATCTGGCGTGATATCAACCCCCAGGTCTTTCTCTCTCTCGGACTCTTGAAGTATTTCATCTCCCAAGTGATACCTTGTATCTGGTCTCCTGCTTCCTACCCCTATCTTCATTACATTACATTTGCTTTGGTTAAACTCTAACAGCCATTTGTTCGACCATTCCTGCAGCTTGTCCAGGTCTTCTTGAAGCCTCAAACTGTCCTCCTCTGTCTTAATCCTTCTCATAATTTTGGCGTCGTCAGCAAACATTGAGAGGAATGAGTCTATACCTTCTGGGAGATCATTTACGTATATCAGAAACAGAATAGGTCCAAGTACAGAGCCCTGTGGGACTCCACTGGTGACTTCACGCCAGTCTGAGGTCTCACCCCTCACCGTAACTCTCTGCTTCCTATTGTTTAGGTACTCCCTTATCCACTGGAGCACCCTACCAGCTACACCTGCCTGTCTCTCCAGCTTATGTACCAGCCTCTTATGCGGTACTGTGTCAAAGGCTTTCCGACAATCCAAGAAAATGCAGTCCGCCCAGCCCTCTCTTTCTTGCTTAATCTGTGTTACCTAGTCATATAATTCTATTAAGCCAGTCAGGCAAGATTTACCCTCCCTGAACCCATGTTGTCGATTTGTCACGAAGTCCCTTCTCTCCAGATGTGCTACCAGGTTTTTTCTCACGATCTTCTCCATCACCTTGCATGGTATACAAGTCAAGGACACTGGCCTGTAGTTCAGTGCCTCTTGCCTGTCGCCCTTTTTGTATATTGGGACCACATTCGCCGTTTTCCATATTTCTGGTAGGTCTCCCGTCTCCAGTGACCTACTATACACTATGGAGAGTGGCAAGCAAAGTGCCTCTGCACACTCTTTCAGTACCCATGATGAGATCCCATCTGGACCAAGAGCCTTTCTAACATCCAGGTCCAGCAGGTGTCTCTTGACCTCCTCTCTCGTAATTTCAAACTCTTCCAAGGCCGCCTGGTTTACTTCCCTTTCTCCTAGCACAGTGACCTCACCTTGTTCTGTTGTGAAGACCTCTTGGAACCTCTTGTTGAGTTCATCACACACCTCTTTGTCATTCTCTGTATACCTGTCCTCGCCTGTTCTAAGTTTCACTACCTGTTCTTTCACTGTTGTTTTCCTTCTGATATGACTGTGGAGTAGCTTTGGTTCGGTCTTGGCTTTGTTTGCTATATCATTTTCATAACTTTTCTCTGCTTCTCTTCTCACCCTGACATACTCATTCCTGGTTCTCTGGTATCTCTCTCTGCTTTCTGGTGTTCTGTTATTCCGGAAGTTCCTCCACGCCCTTTTGTTCAGTACCTTTGCTTCCATACATGCCCTATTATACCATGGATTCTTCTTTTGCTTCTCGGATTTTTCCTTTTGGGCCGGGATGTATCTGCTTACTGCCTCCTGACACTTTTGGGTGACATAGTCCATCATATCTTGTACAGACTTAGCTCTGAGGTCTGTGTCCCAAGGTATTTCCCTTAGGAAGCTTCTCATCTCATAATTTCCCTTTCGGTATGCCAGCCTTTTGTTTCCTAGTTCTTTTTTTTTGGGGGGGGGATAATTCCTAGCTGTGTGTGTGTGTGTGTGTGTGTGTGTGTGTGTGTGTGTGTGTGTGTGTGTGTGTGTGTGTGTGTGTGTGTGTGTGTGTGTGTGTGTGTGTGTGTGTGTGTGTGTGTGTGTGTGTGTGTGTGTGTGTGTATGTGTGTGTGTGTGTGTGTGTGTGTGTGTGTGTGTGTGTGTGTGTGTGTGTGTGTGTGTGTGTGTGTGTGTGTGTGTGTGTGTGTGTGTGTGTGTGTGTGTACTCACCTATTTGTACTCACCTATTTGTGCTTGCAGGATCGAGCATTGACTCTTGGATCCCGCCTTTCCAGCTATCGGTTGTTTACAGCAATGACTCCTGTCCCATTTCCCTATCATACCTAGTTTTAAAAGTATGAATAGTATTTGCTTCCACAACCTGTTCCCCAAGTGCATTCCATTTTTCCACTACTCTCACGCTAAAAGAAAACTTCCTAACATCTCTGTGACTCATCTGAGTTTCCAGTTTCCACCCATGTACCCTCGTTCTGTTATTATTACGTGTGAACATTTCATCTATTTCCACTTTGTCAATTCCCCTGAGTATTTTATGTCCCTATCATATCTCCTCTCTCCCTTTTTTTCTCTAGTGTCGTAAGGTTCAGTTCCTTCAGACGCTCTTCATATCCCATCCCTCGTAACTCTGGGACAAGCCTCGTCGCAAACCTCTGAACCTTCTCCAGTTTCTTTATGTGTTTCTTCAGGTGGGGGCTCCATGATGGCGCGGCATACTCTAAGACGGGTCTCACGTAGGCAGTGTAAAGCGCCCTAAAAGCCTCCTCATTTAGGTTTCTGAATGAAGTTCTAATTTTCGCCAGTGTAGAGTACGCTGCTGTCGTTATCCTATTTATATGTGCCTCAGGAGTTAGATTGGGTGTCACTTCCACTCCCAGGTCTCTTTCTCGAATCGTTACAGGTAGGCTGTTCCCCTTCATTGTGTGTGTGTGTGTGTGTGTGTGTGTGTGTGTGTGTATTCACCTAGTTGTGCTTGCGGGGGTTGAGCTCTGCTCTTTCGGCCCACCACTCAACTGTCAATCAACTGTTACTAACTACTATTTTTTTTCTTTATAACACACACACACACACACACACACACACACACACACACACACACACACACACACACACACACACACACACACACACACACACACAGTGGTCTCGTAGCCTGGTGGATAGCGCGCAGGACTCGTAATTCTGTGGCGCGGGTTCGATTCCCGCACGAGGCAGAAACAAATGGGGAAAGTTTCTTTCACTCTGAATGCCCCTGTTACCTTGCAGTGAATAGGTACCTGAGAGTTAGTCAGCTGTCACGGGCGGCTTCCTGGTGTGTGTGTGTGTGTGTGTGTGTGTGGTGTGGGAAAAAAAAGTAGTTAGTAAACAGTTGGTTGACAGTTGAGAGTCGGGCCGAAAGAGCAAAGCTCAGCGTCCGAAAACACAACTAGGTGAATACACACACACACACACACCAGGAAGCAGCCAGTGACAGCTGACTAACTCCCAGGTACCTATTTACTGCTATGTAACAGAGGCATAGGGTGAAAGAAACACTGCCCATTGTTTCTCGCCGGCGCCCGGGATCGATCCCGGGACCACAGGATCACGCGTCCAGCGTGCTATCCGCTCAGCCACCGGCCCCCTGTGTGTGTGTGTGTGTGTGTGTGTGTGTGTGTGTGTGTGTGTGTGTGTGTGTGTAGTAAATACATCAGTTAATACATCAGGCACAATGTATGACAATAATGACACGGAAACTTGTGTGTCGGGCAGCTGGTGGACTTCCTAGAGCAGCAGAGTCCGCCGGAGGTGGCGGGCGTGGCGGTGCTGCTGGAGGGGCTGAAGGTGGTGTCGCCGCAGCTGTTCAAGCGGCTCCTGCAGAAGAGTGCTCCTCACCTCTCCCCCGAGGCCGCCTGTCAGAGCGGCGACCATCCTCAGGTCAGTACACTCACCCTCAGACCTTTGACAAGTGACAGCTTAATGTTGGTTGACCAACTCCTGCTTCATTATTATTGACCTTATTGACCTCGTCACACTGACAACATTTATCTTGTCCCAGTGACTTCGTGCAGGCTGTGTGGGGACTGAGGAGTGTATAATATTGTGTTACAGGCCTGAGGAGTGTACAACAGTTACTGTCTTGTGAAGTACTGAGGAGTGTATAATAGGCTGTGTGTCTACTGAGGAGTGTATAATATTGTGTTGCAGGCTGTGTGGGTACTGAGGAGTGTATAATATTGTGTTGCAGGCTGTGTGTCTACTGAGGAGTGTATAATATTGTGTTGCAGGCTGTGTGGGGACTGAGGAGTGTATAATATTGTGTTGCAGGCTGTGTGTCTACTGAGGAGTGTATAATATTGTGTTGCAGGCTGTGTGGGGACTGAGGAGTGTATAATATTGTGTTGCAGGCTGTGTGGGGACTGAGGAGTGTATAATATTGTGTTGCAGGCTGTGTGGGGACTGAGGAGTGTATAATATTGTGTTGCAGGCTGTGTGGGTACTGAGGAGTGTATAATGTTGTGTTGCAGGCTGTGCGTCTCCTGAGGAGTGTGAGGGGGCTCAGTGTGAGGAGTGCTTCGCTATAATGTTGTGTTGCAGGCTGTGCGTCTCCTGAGGAGTGTGAGGGGGCTCAGTGTGCGGCCCGCCGGGTACGTCGCCTCCCTCAAGCCATGCTTCGCTAATGACAACGTTGACGTCGTTGTTGCTGCCATGGACACCCTGGCGTCTGTTGACTGTACCATACAGGTGAGGGACTACCAGTGGTGGCACCATACAGGTGAGGGACTACCAGTGGTGGCACCATACAGGTGAGGGACTACCAGTGGTGGCACCATACAGGTGAGGGACTACCAGTGGTGGCACCATACAGGTGAGGGACCACCAGTGGTGGCACCATACAGGTGAGGGACCACCAGTGGTGGCACCATACAGGTGAGGGACTACCAGTGGTGGCACCATACAGGTGAGGGACCACCAGTGGTGGCACCATACAGGTGAGGGACCACCCACCAGTGGTGGCACCATACAGTGGTGAGGGACCACCAGTGGTGGCACCATACAGGTGGCATTATACAGGTGAGGGACCACCAGTGGTGGCACCATACAGGTAAGGGACCACCAGTGGTGGCACCATACAGGTGAGGGACTACCAGTGGTGGCACCATACAGGTGAGGGACCACCAGTGGTGGCACCATACAGGTAAGGGACCACCAGTGGTGGCACCATACAGGTAAGGGACTACCAGTGGTGGCACCATACAGGTGAGGGACCACCAGTGGTGGCACCATACAGGTGAAGGACCACCAGTGGTGGCACCATACAGGTAAGGGACCACCAGTGGTGGCACCAGTGGTGGCACCATATAGGTGAGGGACCACCAGTGGTGGCACCATACAGGTAAGGGACTACCAGTGGTGGCACCATACAGGTAAGGGACCACCAGTGGTGGCACCAGTGGTGGCACCATACAGGTGAGGGACCACCAGTGGTGGCACCATACAGGTAAGGGACTACCAGTGGTGGCACCATACAGGTAAGGGACCACCAGTGGTGGCACCAGTGGTGGCACCATACAGGTGAGGGACCACCAGTGGTGGCACCATACAGGTGAGGGACTACCAGTGGTGGCACCATACAGGTAAGGGACTACCAGTGGTGGCACCATACAGGTAAGGGACCACCAGTGGTGGCACCAGTGGTGGCACCATACAGGTGAGGGACCACCAGTGGTGGCACCATACAGGTGAGGGACCACCAGTGGTGGCACCATACAGGTGAGGGACTACCAGTGGTGGCACCATACAGGTGAGGGACCACCAGTGGTGGCACCATACAGGTGAGGGACCACCAGTGGTGGCACCATACAGGTGAGGGACCACCAGTGGTGGCACCATACAGGTGAGGGACTACCAGTGGTGGCACCATACAGGTGAGGGACCACCAGTGGTGGCACCATACAGGTAAGGGACTACCTTACGGTTGGATTATGTTACAATAGAGATATTAGTATATATATATATATATATATATATATATATATATATATATATATATATCAACAAATATTTAGTACCAGTGATTTAGTAGTTACGAGAGTAGAGACAATTGCTGTGGTAGTGGCCAAGGCTCACCATGGTTAGGTGCCATTGATACTGTGGATGACTGACCAGCCGATGTTACCTGTCACAGGGCGTCACAGAGCTGCAGAAGCTGGGCCTGGAGAGTCCTTCAGACCCAGAGATCCGCATTGCTGCCTACCGCGGCCTCGTCCACTGCATTCCCTCCAGACCTCACCTCCTGCAGGCGGTGGCCAAGGCTCTCAACCCCCAGGATGATGCCTATTCCACTCAAGGTTCGTCGTCTTCACAGCTTCTATATTATTTCCAAGAATCATGGTGACAAAATATTCTTCAATATGTGTTAGTTTCTGTTTAACGAAGTCGGTCAATACCAGGAATTCAGGCAAATAAATTTTCTTATTGAAGACTGACACTTATACACAGCATATTGTTGCACTTGTAGTTGCGTCGTATGTATGGAGCCATGTTCAGTCGGTGATCTCGTCGGAGGACCCGAGCCTGGTGACCCTGCGGGAGCTGATGACCGCCGCTGACCTGGTGGGCCACGTGCCTGACCCCGTGTGGTACGACCCCCGCCAGCACTCCCGCCACCTCTCCCAGACCCTGCACCTGGACCCCCAGACGTCCCTCACCCTGGCTGGGGACCTGGTCTGGGGCAGGTACTCTCCGGCCCCCAGGGCCCTCTACCTCAACCTCGCACTACATAGCCAAGGCGACACACACCAGCTGGCACAGGTAACTGTCACCAAGGTCACACTCAGCTCACACATCGTTACCCGACGTCACATTAATATAGTTACCTCACCTTAAGCTTAGGGTAGTTCGTAGAGCTTATATAAGCATTGTTACATGCACCAAAATCTTGTAGTTAACAGAGGAATTGCACAATACTAGCAATTAACATCAGACTTGAACACCAACGGAAACAGGAAGAACAAAGATGGTAATAATAACACCCACAGGAACAGTAACGGCACATTAACAACGGGAACAACAGCTGCACATTAACAACGGGAACAACAGCTGCACATTAACAACGGGAACAACAACTGCACATTAACAACGGGAACAACAGCTGCACATTAACAACGGGAACAACAGCTGCACATTAACAACGGGAACAACAGCTGCACATTAACAACGGGAACAACAGCTGCACATTAACAACGGGAACAACAGCTGCACATTAACAACGGGAACAACAACGGCACATTAACAACGGGAACAACAGCTGCACATTAACAACGGGAACAACAACTGCACATTAACAACGGGAACAACAGCTGCACATTAACAACGGGAACAACAACTGCACATTAACAACGGGAACAACAACTGCACATTAACAACGGGAACAACAACTGCACATTAACAACGGGAACAACAACTGCACATTAACAACGGGAACAACAGCTGCACATTAACAACGGGAACAACAACGGCACATTAACAACGGGAACAACAACGGCACATTAACAACGGGAACAACAGCTGCACATTAACAACGGGAACAACAACTGCACATTAACAACGGGAACAACAACTGCACATTAACAACGGGAACAACAGCTGCACATTAACAACGGGAACAACAGCTGCACATTAACAACGGGAACAACAACGGCACATTAACAACGGGAACAACAACTGCACATTAACAACGGGAACAACAGCTGCACATTAACAACGGGAACAACAACTGCACATTAACAACGGGAACAACAGCTGCACATTAACAACGGGAACAACAACTGCACATTAACAACGGGAACAACAACTTCACATTAACAACGGGAACAACAACTGCACATTAACAACGGGAACAACAGCTGCACATTAACAACGGGAACAACAACTTCACATTAACAACGGGAACAACAACTGCACATTAACAACGGGAACAACAGCTGCACATTAACAACGGGAACAACAGCTGCACATTAACAACGGGAACAACAGCTGCACATTAACAACGGGAACAACAACTGCACATTAACAACGGGAACAACAACTGCACATTAACAACGGGAACAACAGCTGCACATTAACAACGGGAACAACAACTGCACATTAACAACGGGAACAACAGCTGCACATTAACAACGGGAACAACAGCTGCACATTAACAACGGGAACAACAGCTGCACATTAACAACGGGAACAACAACTTCACATTAACAACGGGAACAACAACTGCACATTAACAACGGGAACAACAGCTGCACATTAACAACGGGAACAACAACTGCACATTAACAACGGGAACAACAGCTGCACATTAACAACGGGAACAACAGCTGCACATTAACAACGGGAACAACAGCTGCACATTAACAACGGGAACAACAGCTGCACATTAACAACGGGAACAACAACTGCACATTAACAACGGGAACAACAGCTGCACATTAACAACGGGAACAACAACTGCACATTAACAACGGGAACAACAGCTGCACATTAACAACGGGAACAACAACTGCACATTAACAACGGGAACAGCAGCATCATAATAATCATAACTTTTAGTAACTTATGTACAATGTACTATAATAAGTTTTGATAATTGGTTGAGGTGTTTGTTGTGTGTGAAGGTGATAGTGCGGGTGACGGGGGTGGAGACCATGCTGGTGAGCCTGCCGGGCCTGGAGGGCCTGCTGCAGGCCGCCGCCGCCTACCTCTGGTCCACCGCCTCCCGCCTCACTCCTCACGCCTTCAGGTCCAAGAGGCAGATCACACACGAGCAAATCGCCGACTTTATCCAACAGGCAAGTCATGACGCTGCCTTGAAATATGATTACTTTATGAGTGTTATTGTTCTACTTTATTTCTATTTGCTCTTGCATTCCTACAATTCATGGTAATCTATTAATTTTGATTGTAAAGGTAAAGTTATTACACTGTAAATAATTATTAATTATCAGCTTTACAGTGTTGCCAGGATTTTTTCGTGATAATGGTTTCAGTTTGTTGTTACTGACAAAGTTGCACTTAAATACATCTTTATCTTTTGTCTTGGGTGATTAGCGACATATATTTGAAGGTTGTGAAGAATTTTATACTAATAACTCCCACTCATTGAGTTCCCAGACCAGCGTGTCTTAGTGAGGGTGTTTCAGGTCAGAGCATTTCCATGACAGTTTAGCAGCGTTAGGATGAAAACAAAGATGGTGAGATATATTTGACGGTAGTGTTTACTGTATGGGGGGGGGGGAGCAGGTTATGTCAAGGATCCCGGCAGAGTACCGCGCCGGCTCCTCCAGCCTGGAGGTGTGTGTACACCTCCTGGGGACACAGATGGTCCACCTCCGCCTCTCTGACCTCCGCTACTCTGCCCTCCTGGAAGCCGCCACCAACGCCCTGCAGACGCCTCTACACGCTGTGGTAAGTCCCCTCGACTTCCAACATATTCATAGCATTATTATAAACATTTGTACATTATCTTAAAATTGAGTCACTTCTGGGGTGTGAGTTTTCAGTTGCATGTAGTCCTGGGGACCATTCAGGCTTGTTCGCATTTGTGTTCCTCACGTGTGCCCCAAAGAATGAGGTGATTTGATAAAAATGCTATGCCCAAGATTACCATCAGAGTGCCCGTGGGCTGATGGGCTAAATAGCCTCGGCTGCCATCAGTTTTTGTCCGGTCGTGATGGTCAAATGGATTAAGGCGTCCTGTACATACCAGTTGCGTTGCTCCTGGCAATATGGGTTCGAGTCACTCCTGGGGTGTGAGTTTTCAGTTATCTTTATACATACTTAACCAAATAACACTGAAGTAAATTAACACAATGCACAAGTCATAGCAGCTAGATGTCACTAAGTACAAATAACCTAATAACATTAGTACACAAGTCCACTCAAGACTGGCTGGTAGGTTGTGAACATTGTGGGTGGTGAAGTTACTTACCCAGAGTGGGTGGTAAGGTCTCATCATGAACATCAATAACACAAGTCAGTGAGCTATCACTTTGCCTTTAGAAAATACTAAGTCCCAACTGGTCTGGCAAATAGCAAAGTTGAAAATCTCTTCTCAAAAGTCAAAGTCCACAATGACTGAAAAATGAGTCAAGAAACTCTCTACTGAAGTTAGTCCACAATGACTGACCAATGGCAGAGTCAGATACATGTCTTCAAACGTTAGTTACAATGGCTGAAAAATTTGGCAGAGTCCTGAATCTCTTCTGAAAAAAAAAAATAAATAAATATATATATATATATATATATATATATATATATATATATATATATATATATATATATATATATATATATATATATATTTATTTATATATATGAGGATAAGTGAGGCAGTGAGTAGCTGTGCAAGGTTGAAGAAAGGTTAGGTTTAATTCTATACATATATATATATATATCTATATGATATATTGATTCTCGGATGAATGAAAGTGATGCCGATAAAATTCATCATGACCTCTGGTCAGTTGTCCTTCCCATGGTAATATTGATCATGTGGCTCCTCTCCCCAGGTATTGACTCTGGTGCCTCTACTGGACAACACCCTGACGCTCGTGACCTCGTGTGGGGTGCCGGTCCGCCTTCACGTGGGCGGTGTAGCAGGGGTCCAAGGTGAGGCTCAGCACAGCGCGAGTCAAGACCGTGGCTTCCTTAAGTTCGTGGCCAGGTGAGGCAATGTTATTCTTTCCCTCTAAGTTACCATTTTAATTCTAGGTAAATAATTTACAACATTTTGTTCCTCTTGTGTCTTGGTTACTGCCTTTAATGTATTTTTTTTGTAAGAACTTGTGGTTACCATTACACATTGTGGAATTCCTGTTCATGAAGTTACTTAGGAAAATGTCTTGCATATCGTAATTGCATTATATAACACTAACACTAGATGTGATTTTTTATTCCTGTTGCAGCGGAGGACTGTCGGTCGAGACGACTGTTGAGGTTGGGGACCAGCAGCCAGCACCTATCGAGAGCCAGTTTCTGTGCTCACTGGATGTTCCCATCAGCGCCTCCTACGAGTATGAGGTCAAACACCAGACAAGTCTTCATCATATATTTTGTGACTTGTTTTTTCATTATTAATTTAGAGTGAGAGCTTATTTGTCTTGTACTTATCTTACCTTATCTTGTACTCTTCCTTTTGATGAATAATTAAAGAAATAAATAATAATTACTAATTAATAATAATTTAATGACTATCGTAAGCATCTTGATCTTCGATAAAGTTAAGAATGAAAACTAGACATAAACACTAGTTCTTAGAATTAACAAATTTATACTTAACATTGTGATTGAGGATGGTGCAGGCGATGAGTCACAATAACGTGGCTGAAGTATGTTGACCAGACCACACACTAGAAATTGAAGGGACGACGACGTTTCGGTCCGTCCTGGACCATTCTCTCTTATTAACAATGTACCCAACATGAACTTGAGTCCTGGCTTTGTTGCTGTGGACTCTTCCCTTTCACAGTATATACTCAAATGCTCTAATCTTTCTAACAAACGTGACTTAACATAAGCTTTCCCCCTTCCATTTATTTCTTTCTTTCTCTTTCCCTTTCTTTCTCTCTTCTCCCTTTTTCTGTTCATTGTCTTCTCCTACGCTCCCTTGCTATCCTCTTCTTTTTCCTATTACTATCTCCTTCGGTGGTTATAATAGGAGCTGCCTCGTGTGGGCCAATAGGCCTGCTGCAGTTCTCATTACTACTATCCCCTTCACCTGACTTTCCTCCTCAGCTCTCTCTTGCCTATTTAATGCCTGTCCCTACCTCCCCATCACAATCGACTTGAGAATGGTCCAGGACGGACCGAAACGTCGTCGTCCCTTCAATTTCTAGTGTGTGGTCTGGTCAACATTGAGGATGGTATGTGTTGTGATGAGTGACGGTGTGTGTGTGTGTGTGTGTGTGCAGGGCGAGGCTACCCGGGTCTCTCTCCGACTCCCGCACCTCTTCACGGGACGACTCTGGCACCAGGAGCGTCACACCTCCCTGGCCGGCACCTCACCGCACCTCCGGTAAGAAACGTCTTCAATATATGTCCTGTTCATTAGAAATATATATTTTGATACACAGAGATACTCAACCTGTCCTCATAATAATAGTAGAGGCATCCATCAGTCTCAGGAGACAATGAAGTTGCACTTTGTTTGTCGGTCTGGAGTGGCCTCTCCAGGGCACAAAGCCCGAGTAGGTTGATATGGGGAAGAAGCTGTCAAGCATGCAGCAGGTCCTTCCCCCTTTTCCACGAGGTTGAAGGCACCAATGAACTTCCCTAGGGACTCCAGCTCCAGAGTTTACCTCGAAGTTGGTAAAAGAAAGCACAGGAACTCCAAACCTGTAGATCTCCGTGGTAGGGGTCCGAGAAGAACCACCCCAGTAAGGGCAAGAACGACCCCAAGAATGGCCCCGGAGTCGAACCGTGTTGGAAGACCGGGCTCTGTTGCCTCCACTGCATTGGGCCCCGACCTTGCTCCTCCTTTGACCCTTCTGACTACTCCCCTCGGCTCTCCTCCCTCTGTGGTTGGGTCGAGCTACAAGCCCCCAGTAGTGACCGCCTCGTCCCCTGGCACGGCTCAGTCTCTTATTGTGACTACTATGCCTTTTATCCCCTATCTCTCTGAGGGTTCTCAACGCCGTCCATGCCACGGCCGCACTTGCTCGATCCCTTCCCATATTGATGCGTACCAGGCCTTGTTTGGGCCTGCTTCGTGGGCCAAATATTTTGATCTCCTCCTTCTGGATTCTACACCTGACGATTTCTCCATCCATAGGCACCTCGTTGATTCAGTAGATGCCTCTGTTACTTTCAACCCCACAGTGTCGTTGCTGCTCCTTCTCAGGATGCAGCCACCCACTTGGCCGCCTTATCATGCCTTGGCGAGACCCCTGTTCGGGTCTCCAAGAACGCTCGGTGAATGCCAGTGTTGGCACTATTCTCCTCCCATCCCATGTTGCAACCGGTGTTAGGAATCTACAGGACTGCCACGAAGATATTCGGCATATCCTCGAAGCCCAGGGCCATTCTGTTCTCCAGGTAGACTCGTTTACTTATCCCCCTCTTGGTCGTCGCCATCAACCCCTTCAGGTTGTGAAGATTACCTTTGATGGTAGGACCCTTCCGCCCTCTGTCACTCTTGGTGGTGCCAGGTGCTCTGTCCAGTTCATTCCATTTCCTCGGCTCTGTAATAAGTGCTGGAGGTTTTGGCATGGTGCCCTCCGGTGCTCCAGTACTGTCTCTCTCTGTCCCTTGTGTGTTGACGAAGGTCACTCTAAGTCGGAGTGCACTTCTCCCCGGGTTCACTGCCTCAATTGCGATGAGGCCAACCCTACCTTCTCCCGCGCATGTGTACATTACAAACTAGAGGCAGCCGTCCTCACCTTGAAGCATCGGGAACGTTTGTCTTTTCCTGAGACGAGGCGCCAAGTTCGCCGTCTCCCCCCCTTTCTCTGGTGTCTCTTATGCTCGCGTGTTGCGCTCTTCTTCTCCTCGTCTTTCCCACCTTCCTCAGTCTCACAACCGTTTCCAGGCCTTAGACCCAGACACGCCCACCGCCTCCTTCTCTGTTCCTTTAAGTTCTGTCCCGAAGGGTCCCCCTCATGGTTCTCTGTCTGGTGTTCCCCTTCTTTCTACCCAGTCTGTCTTGTCTCCTGTGCCTTCCTCCTCGTCTCCCTCCAATCCTCCTTCTCATCCATCTCCGTCTCTTAGCTCTCTGTGCCACCTGTCAGTGCGGGCTGAGGTCCATCACTCTCCCAGCGGCCATCGTGTTGTTTGCTCTCGTTCTGCTTCTCCTATAGAGATGCTTGAATCTGTTGCCCATTACATTGTTGCTGGGACGCCTGTCTCTTTGAGTCAGAAGCGAAAGCCTGGCTCTACTCCTTCCTCTTCCCCAGCGAGTAAGAAGACTTCGCTTTCTTCCTCGACCTCCTCTCGCTCCATCTTCTCCCATTTTGGTGGTTGCGCCCCTGTTCCTGCTATGGAGGTTTCTTTGGCCCCCGCTTCCCTCTCAGTTGCTGCCCTTGCTGAGGTGCACGCCCTGGTTTCTGCCCCTCCTGCTGTTGTCCTTGATCCTCAGTTGTCCCCCCTCCTCCTCCTCCTCCTTCGGACCCTGCTCGCCCGCCTCTGGTTGGTCCTCCCGCTCCCTTCCCTCCATCTTTACTCAGTTTACCAATGTCCCCCTAACCCTGACTTCGCTGATCCTGATCCTGCGCTTCTTTAACGTGCTGTGTTCCTTTTTTTCCCTTTGTTTCTTCATTGTCCTCTGTTGCTGTCCTTTCTCTTCTTGTCGATGTCTATTCTTCAATGGATTTTCGCGAATATTACGCCAATTTCCATGAACTCTAACTTCTGATTTCTCAGTTTTTGCCCTTTTGTGTCTGTCTCCAGGAGCCGATGCTTGGTGCTCATCCTGGTTGCTTCCATGGCTATTCCTTATCTTCCTTCCCCCCTGGCTTTTGTTGGGGCCCGTTCCTCTCCTGCTCTCTTGATTCGTTCTGATGTTCCCTTCGTCCCCTACTTTTTCCATCGCCTCTCCAATGTTCTGCTGCACGTGTCTTTGTGCGTAAATGGTACACGGTTTGTTTCATTTATCTCACCTCAAATGTTCCGCTTTCTCTTCCCGATCTTAAATACCTACTGGACTCCTTGCTGAAGCCTGTGCTCCTGCTAGGTGATTTCATTTGTTGACATACCCTTTGGGGTGATGTTCGGATGAACACCCGGGGTCGGCTTCTCGAACCTTTCATCCTCTCTTCTTCCCTGTCTCTTCTGAATTCTGGTGAGCCCACTCATTTGGACTCTCGGACTCGCACATTTTCTTATCTTGATCTTTCTCTCTGCTCGTCGTCTGTTTACTTGGATTTCATGTGGCGAGTTCTTGATGACCTCCATGGCAGTGACCATTTCCCCATCCTTGTTACCTTTTTCTCTTTTCACCCTCCCTCTCCTTCCATAGGTGGCAGTTTGCTAAGGCAGACTTGAATCTATTTGCCCTCCATGCTGCTCTCTCTAACCTCTCCATTCTGTCTCTCCCTCGCACCTTCCTCCTTTTTCATGACACCCATCTTGATGGTGCTCTCCGCTCTATTCCTCGCTCTTCCTCTCTGGGACCACGGAAGTGCGTTCCCTGGTGGAATGTGGACTGTGAACGAGCTGTCCGCTGTAAGCGTGCAGCCTGGAAGAGACAGTGCCACCGGCAGATGGCTGATTCTTATCTTTTGTTTCGAAAGGCGAGTGCAGTGGCCCGTAGGGCCATCCGTACGGCTAAGTGTGAATGTTGGACGTCTTATGTTTCCACCATTATGTCCGAAACTCCTCTGCCGCAGATCTGGAAGCGTGTCTGCAAGATAGCGGGGAAGTTTGTTCCCAATGTCTCGCTGGTCGTTCACCTCCGTGGCTCTCTTGTGGCAGACCCGTTGCAGGTCGCGACTGAACTGGGTTTCCACTTTTCTTCTGTTAACTCTGGTTCTCATCTTTCTCAATCTTTCCTTCTTCATAAACCTGTCCTTGAATCTCATCCTTTAGATTTCTGCACTCATCTCAGAGTGCAGATCCCTATAGACTTCCTTATAATGATCCCTTCCCTCTCTGAATTTCAGTCTGCCCTGGCCCTCTGCGGTTCTTCGGCAGCAGGCTCCGATGGCATTCATTATAAGATGCTTCCATCTCCCTCCGTGCACGCCATAGTATTTACTGAGTCTGTATAAACGGGTCTGGGAGTCGTCGTCAGTCCCTGAGGACTGGCTCGATGCCGTTGTCTTCCCTGTTCGAAACCAGGGTCTCTAGGGACATCCATAAAGGATTTTCGCCCTATTGCCCTCATACTTTGTGCCTACAAACTCTTTGAACGTATGATTACTGTTCGTCTGATGTCACCTCCTCTCCACTTCTCAATATGATTTTCGCAAGTGCCGCAGCACAATGGATGTCCTGGTGAACTTGGAGGTCTATATTCGTACTGCTTTTGCTGCGAAGACCTCCGTTGTTGCCGTCCTTTTTGACCTGGAAAAGGCTTACAACACCACTTGGCAATATCATATTCTGTCCCAACTTCATTCTTTTGGCCTTCATGGTAATCTCCCTCTCTTTCTCCAAAGCTTCCTCTCTCGTCGTTTCTTTCGAGTGAGGCTTTATATCACTCTCTTTGCCTCTTTTCAGCAATATGAGGGTGTGCTCCAAGATAGTGTTCTGAGCACTTCTCTTTTTCTGGTTGCCCTCAATGGTCTTCTTTTCTCTCTTCCCTCTGGCATCTTCTCCGCTCTCTATGTCGACAATCTTACCTTTGCTGTCGGGGTGACGCTTTGCTTCTCCTTCAACGGCAGCTTCAACTTGCGATTAATGCCATGTCGTCTTGGGCCACTGATCATGGCTTCCGGTTCTCTAAGTCTAAGACATGTGCTATGACTTTTACTTGGAAGCGTGTCGTTCTTCGTCCCTCTTTGTCACTTTATGGTCAACCCTTTGTGTACAAGGATTCCGCTAAGCTTTTGAGGTTAATCTTTGGCACTCGTTTGTCTTGGTCGGCCCATATCTCTTACCTGCGAGTTAAATGCTCTACCTGCGAGTTGAATGCTCTAAGGCCCTTACCCCTCCTTAAGGTTTTGTCCCATACTTCTTGGGGAGCGGATAGATGCACTCTCCTTGCTTTACATTCCTCTCTCGTCCTGTCTAAACCCGATTATGGTTGCCCTGCTTACTCGTCTGTTTCTCCTTCTATTCTTCGCCGTCTTGATGCTTTGCACCATACTGGGTTGCACCTCAGTTCTGGTGCCTTTCGTTTGACTTCCGTCCTCAGCTTGTATGTTGACACTAGCTTCCTATCTCTCCAGGACCGCCGTGATCGCTACTGTCTTCGCTATCTTGCGTGGTCCTTGCAACATCCTTCCTCTCGCCTCTGTCATGCTTTAACTTTTACCCCTCCTATGGTTCCTGTTCCTCTTCACCACCTCCCTCTTTCTGTCCAGTTATCTCGCTTACAAGATTCTCTTTCTGTTCGTATTTCTAATGTATCTCCTCGTGTTGTTCCTTCCTTGCCCCCGTGGAGAGTCCCCCTTCCGAAGTTTTGTACATCCTTAACTCGCATCACAAAAGCTTTTACCCCTCCTTCGAATCAGAAACGCCTTTTCCTTGAGCACTTTTCTTCACACTCCCGCTCCGTTTCCATCTTCACCGATGGGTCTAAGTCTGCGGACGGTGTTGGCTACTCTGTTGTTTTTCCTGACGGCACTTATATGTGTCGCTTACCTCCGGAGACTAGCATCTTCACAGTGGAACTTTATGCTTTTCTCTATGCTCTTCGTCTCCTACTTTCTCATTGTCAATCTTCCTTTGTAGTTGTCGTTGATTCTCTTAGTGCCCTCATGGCTCTCGGATCCTTTAATTCGGTCCATCCAGTGGTTGTTGAGATTCAGCATTGGCTGTTTCTTATTTCCAGTAAATTTAAGTCAGTGAGTTTTGCTGGGTTCCCAGCCATATTGGTGTCTCTTTTAAATGAGCGTGCGGATGCTGCCACCAGGAAAACTGTCCACTCTTGTGCCATCTCCCGTAAAGGTATTCCTTATTCCGACTTTTATCAAGTTATTCATTCCTCCACCCTTACCCGTTGGCAGGGTTGTTGGTCCTCTGTTACCGGTAACAAACTGCCTACTCTTAAGAGTAGTGTGTCTTAAGAGTTTATAGTGCTATACTCTTAAGAGTATAGCACTGTATCATCCTTTGCAGATGACACTAGGATTTTCATGAGAGTTGGCAACATAGAGGACACGGCAAACCTCCAATCAGATGTAGATCAGGTGTTTCTATGGGCTACAGAAAATAATATGGTGTTTAACGAGGATAAGTTCCAGCTCATGCGCTACGGAAAAATTGAAAATATAAAAACAGAAACCACGTACAAAACTCAGGCAAATCATAACATAGAACGAAAAGGCAATGTAAAGGATCTGGGTGTACTCATGTCGGAAGACCTTACCTTTAAAGAACACAATAAAGTAGCCGTCACAACTGCAAGAAAAATGACAGGTTGGATAACAAGAACTTTTCACACTAGAGATGCTATACCGATGATGATACTTTTCAAAATGCTTGTGCTCTCTAGAGTGGAGTACTGCTGCACAATGACAGCCCCTTTCAAAGCTGGAGAAATTGCTGACCTGGAGAGCGTGCAGAGATCCTTTACTGCTAGAATCCACTCAGTAAAACATATAAATTACTGGGACCGACTAAAGAGCCTAAATCTGTACTCCCTTGAGCGCAGGCGGGAGAGATACATAATAATTTACACGTGGAAAATAATTGAGGGGCTGGTCCCAAGCCTGCACACAGAAATAACATTACATGAGACCAGAAGACATGGCAGGATGTGCAGAATACCCCCGTTGAAAAGCAGAGGTGCAACAGGTACTCTGAGAGAGAACTCTATCAACATCAGAGGCCCGAGACTGTTCAACACGCTTCCACTACACATAAGGGGCATAACTGGCCGACCCCTCACAGTGTTCAAGAGAGAACTGGATAAGCACCTCCAAAGGATACCTGATCAACCAGGCTGTGACTCATACGTCAGACTGCGAGCAGCCGCGTCTAACAGCCTGGTTGATCAGTCCAGCAACCAGGAGGCCTGGTCGACGACCGGGCCGCGGGGACACTAAGCCCCGGAAGCACCTCAAGGTAACCTCAAGGTAAGGCAAGGTCCTCATGGCCGTCCTCCTGCCACCATAACCGGCGATGGGAAATGGCTCTGGTGAGGATGCATATTGGCCATACACTCTTAACTCACGGTCACTTAATGTAGTCCCGCCCTGCTCCTTATTGTCTACATTGCATTGTCCCTCTTACGGTCGTGCATATCCTTATTGGATGTCCTGACTTCCGGGACGAGCGTGTGTCTTGTTTTCCGACCGTCCCTCACGGTCACTTGTCCCTCGATAGAATTCTTGGTGACTCGGATACTTTTGATATCGTTCGCCTTATGCATTTTTGTTCTCGTATTGGCATCCTTGGTGATATTTTGCGCCCTCTGATTATTCCGCACATTTGATGGTGCTACATAGCCTTCCCAGTTTGGTGCTTCTTTTTGATAATTACTTACTTCCTTCATGACCCAACAGAAGGAAGAGAATAATTGTTGTAATTATTAATTACAACAATTATTATTATAATTATTAGTATAATCATAATATAATTAATTAATATTTATTACTCATCCTTCTGCTGGGTCATGAAGGAAGCGGGCCTCGGGTGAAAGGGGGCTGTGACGATCTCTTAACAGAGCGTCACATTTTGACGTATACTTCACCTAAGGGCAAAAATTGTCGTCTTAGAAAATGGTAGCGGCTCGCGAAATTGACATACTGTCCCGTATTATGTTTCTGGTCCTCTGGTAGGTTAGGGTAAGAGCACTTTAATACGGCAGTTTCTCGACGTTGGGAATCCTTAGAAGGACGGGCTGGAATAATTACACTAACGTGATATATACCAATGAGAAAATCAATGATTTTCCCATTGCTATATAACAGGCTAGTGTGATTTCTGTGTATTTGACATTGGAGTGTAGAGGGGTAAACTGCTTTACCTACACCAGAGTGGCTGGGGGGTGGTAGGTAAAACGTGGAGTGGCTTCAGTAGAGGCCTCCACACTTCCTGTCGATTCAGTAAAACCCAAGGTGATATATATTATTCCGTCAGGGTGGTACAGTGGTAGCACTTGCATGCAGGGGTTCGAGTCACCTCCAAGCTGCAATTGATTTTCCTATCAATATATATGATGTACATTATGAACACAAGATATATCAGGTTTCCTCCATTATCATGAAGCCCAACCATTTGGACTGGATGCTAGAGTGACGGTCTTGCTTCATGCAGGTCGACGTTCAATCCCCGACCTTCCAAGTGGTTGGGTACCATTCCTTTCCCCCCCCCCCACCGTCCCATCCCAAATCCATATCCTGACCCCTTTCAAATGCTATATAGTTATGTCGTGGCGCTTTGTCCTCATAGTTGCCTTCGCTTTTCATGATGAGGGCTCTGGTCAACTAGCCTCCCCCCCTCCCCTCCTGGCGAGTCTTAAACCAATGTATACTCTTCAGAGTACTGAAGTACAATGTATACTCTCTTCAATGTATACTCTTCACTGCCCGAAACGCTTTGCGTAATAGTGGCTTTAGGCATTGTATGTACTAGCTCTATCTATAAAGCCAACAAACTTTGTAAAATCTCTTTATGTATGTACCTTTACCTAAATAAAAATTATTATTATTATTATTATTATTCAGAGTGACGGAGGTGTGCTGGGGCCCCGGGAAGACTCTCCAGCTGTGTCTCAACACCCACACGACGGACCACACGTCGCAAGGTCCAGTTTCTGGCCAGGATGGTTGGCTGGCCCCCTATGTTTACTCTCTCAACCTGCACATGCTCTATCCTGATGAACCTGTTGTTGTTACTTCCTCTACACCCAACAGTAAGTCATAATATAGCAGTGCAATTGTTGTCACTATATCTTCTACCGTACATCATAGTGTAGCACCGTAACTGTCATCACTATATCTTCTACAGTACATCATAGTGCAGCACCGTAACTGTCATCACTATATCTTCTACCGTACATCATAGTGTAGCACCGTAACTGTCATATCACTAACTTCTACATCACATATATCTTCTACCGTACATCATAGTGCAGCACCGTAACTGTCATCACTATATACTCTACAGTACATCATAGTGCAGCACCGTAACTGTCATCACTATCTTCTACCGGACATCATAGTGTAGCACCGTAACTGTCATCACTATATCTTCTACAGTACATCATAGTGCAGCACCGTAACTGTCATCACTATATCTTCTACCGTACATCATAGTGCAGCACCGTAACTGTCATCACTATATCTTCTACCGTACATCATAGTGCAGCACCGTAACTGTCATCACTATATCTTCTACAGTACATCATAGTGTAGCACCGTAACTGTCATCACTATATCTTCTACCGTACATCATAGTGTAGCACCGTAACTGTCATCACTATATCTTCTACAGTACATCATAGTGTAGCACCGTAACTGTCATCACTATATCTTCTACAGTACATCATAGTGTAGCACCGTAACTGGCATCACTATATCTTCTACAGTACATCATAGTGCAGCACCGTAACTGTCATCACTATATCTTCTACAGTACATCATAGTGCAGCACCGTAACTGTCATCACTATATCTTCTACAGTACATCATAGTGCAGCACCGTAACTGTCATCACTATATCTTCTACCGTACATCAAAGTGCAGCACCGTAACTGGCATCACTATATCTTCTACAGTACATCATAGTGCAGCACCGTAACTGGCATCACTATATCTTCTACAGTACATCATAGTGCAGCACCGTAACTGTCATCACTAGTAATGGTATTGGAGGCTTAGCACATTTTTTTGTTTTAATTGTATGCTAAGATCTTAGCGCGTTAGTTGTTGGGACCTGAAAAAGCTCCCAAAGTCTGACCCAAAAATTGCATGCTAGGATGCCACCCGTTTAAGACTGAATAATTGTCAGACTTTTAATTCCCGCTAAGATGCCACCTGGTTTTTACGTGGAATTACTTCCGAGTTCAGTTTTAGGAAAATATTTCAGAATTCATTTTTGGAGAATAGTTTTATTAAAAAGTTTGCTAATGAATTCTTATATAAAAAATATACACTCTGCTCACGTTTAAGACTGAATATTTTCAGTTTTACTTACACCTGATGTATTAAAGAGTTCTTACGGAGAAAAATATACTCTATGGAATTAAGTTTACGTTTTTAAAGTAATTCACAGTATATGAAGTTAGTTCTTGGACCTGGCTCTATACATTTATAAGTGTAGTCTTGCTACTATTAACCCAATTTTAGCCCAATTTAACACGGCCATATTTCTGACGCAGTAAGAAAAGAAAATAGTTACCGAGTTCTAACTCCCGTCCTCCACCTTACTTCATTCGTACAACTTCGATATTAACCGATCAGTTCCCCTGACACTAAAACCCGTTGTATTTCTGAATGAGTAAATATGGTCAAAGCAGTTATCGAGGTCCAGCTCTTGTCCCCGCCTTAGTTCGCTCCGGCAAGTTAATTATCACCAGTCCAATTCCCCTGAAATTTAAAACCACTGTTTTTCTGACGCAGTAAATCAGATCAAGACAGTAACCAAGCTCCGACTCCTGTCTTCCGCCTTACTTCATTCATACAACTTTGTTAGTGTCTATCCAAATCCCCGAAATTTAAAATCGCTGTATTTCGGACGTAGTAAAATGCAGCAATGGAGTTACCGAGCTCCAGCTCTTGTCTCCGCCTTAGAACACTCTCATAACATTGCTAGTATTTACCCAAGTCTTCTAAAATTTAAACCCGCGTATTTTAGATACAGCAAAATAAATCAAAAGCAAACACGGAGCTCTGGCTCGTCCCCACTTTAGGTCATTCGTACACCTAAGCTGCTATCCGATCAATTTCCTCGAGATTTAAAACATAGTTATTTCAGACATAGTAATAAAACAAAGTAACGTTACCGAGTTCCAGCTCCTTTCCTCCACCTTACTTGTATCTTCATTATCTTCATTGTCACTTGTATCGTCATTATCTTCATTGTCACTTGTATCTTCATTATCTTCATTGTCACTTGTATCTTCATTATCTTCATTGTCACTTGTATCTTCATTATCTTCATTGTCACTTGTATCTTCATTATCTTCATTGTCACTTGTATCTTCATTATCTTCATTGTCACTTGTATCTTCATTATCTTCATTGTCACTTGTATCTTCATTAATATCTACCCAATTTCCCTGAAAATTAAAATAACTATATTTCGTACATAGTAAAATAGATCAAAGCTATTACCGTGGTCCAACTCCTGACCTCCGCCTTAGTTCAATGTTCATCAAACATAATATTCCAGAACAAGTAAGTAGCTCTCATCTCTTACTTTATCAAAATATACACGAGTCTAACCACACCCTGGGAGTTACCTGGGAGTTAGTCAGCTGTCACGGGCTGCTTCCTGGGGGTGGAGGCCTAGTCGAGGACCTGGCCGCGGGGACACTAAAGCCCCGAAATCATCTCAAGATAACCTCAAGATAACCACACCCTCATCACACCTGTGTAAATAAACCCAGCCAAGTAATTCTCACACGGTCACACCCCCCCTTATCTCCCCTCCCTTCATTTCCCCCCATGCCCGACTGCACTCTTATCTCTTATCTCCCTTACTTACCCTGCACCACCTCTCCCTCTGACCCCCCAACTCCCCCTTCTTATTTCCCTCTCTTACCCCTTCCCCAACTCCACCCAAACATCCCCCCCCCCTCTCCCTCACCCATTCCCCCCCCCTTTCCCCACTTCACCCATCCCCCCCCCTCATAATTTCAAAATGCAGCTATTATCCAATAATCTTACTGTATTTGTGTGTTCACTTCATGTTCTCAGCATATTCTCTGCAAGTTCAATTCATATTTTCCACTGTTTCTCCGTACTCTTTACATTCCCTTTCATGTTCTTTACAAATTTCCCTCATGTTCTCTGTGTTCTTTGTCAGGTTTTCAATGTTTTTAACGTGTTCTTCACAAGTTGGTTGTTCATTCTTTGTATAGTCTGCATATTCTTTTATGTTTTCACGTTCTCTGCAAGTTCAATTCATGTTCCCCGCATGTTCTGTTATCTTTTTATCTTACATGTTCTTTGCCTCGTTCTTTAAACTAATTGTTTCTGACATTTAGTAAGTAGATCATTGTTACATATTATCAACAGCGTTACTGACAGTCAACAAGTTACTACAAAGTATTTATTTAGTTATTCACTGAGCTTTATTTTGAAAACTACGTCAATGTATTTCTCTTATCAACTTAAGATTTCGTACTAACACCGTTCTTAAAACAAAAGCTATTCATTATGAAGTAACAAATTTACAAAGACATTCATTTATTGTCGTTTCTTAAGTAAAATTATTCATCAATCAACTGAAAATGCTCACGTTCATCATCTTTTCATCATTTTTTAACTAAAATAACACTTCTCTCAATTGAAAATATTCAAGTGTAACTTCTTTCAACATTTTTTTTTAACTACCATTTTGCGTTGGTGAGTACGAAAAAGTCAAAGGTAATTTCTTCATAATATTTTCTAAACTAAAGTTACTCTCCGAGTCATCTTTACTCATCAAATGCTACTCTCATGTTATCTTTCTTCTCCATTGACACGCTCAAAGCCATTAAGAATACTATTAATGACATCAAAGTTAATCTCAGAGCCATTATGAATACTCACAAAGACCTAAAAAATACTCTTCAATCATAAAAGACTATCTCCGTGTTTTATTTACATAAGAATAATACTCTCTAATCATCTTCATTCATTAAAGAATCTCTCAACGGTATCTTTACTCAGCAATAATATGTTCCAAGATCATTTTAAGTAACATTTGTATATTTCTAAGACATCTTCGTTCATTAATTAATCTCTCCAAGACAATAATAATATGTTCCAAGATCATTTTAATTAACATTTGGACTTTCTAAGACATCTTCGATCATTAAAGAAACATTCTGTGACATCTTCGAGCATTAAAGAAACATTCTGTGACATCTTCGAGCATTAAAGAAACATTCTGTGACATCTTCGAGCATTAAAGAAACATTCTGTGACATCTTCGAGCATTAAAGAAACATTCTGTGACATCTTCGTGCATTAAAGAAACATTCTGTGACATCTTCGTGCATTAAAGAAACATTCTGTGACATTCTTCTGTGACATCTTCGAGCATTAAAGAAACATTCTGTGACATCTTCGAGCATTAAAGAAACATTCTGTGACATCTTCGAGCATTAAAGAAACATTCTGTGACATCTTCGAGCATTAAAGAATCTTCCCAAGACCGTAATAATACCTTCAGATATAATTTAATTAACATTTGCACTCTTTAACGTGACTTTATATCAAGATTTACTCTCTAGAACTTCTTTGTACATCAAATAATATTCTCACTGTAATAAACATTGTTCTTCCTTCAATAAATATGTAGTCAAGGGTAACTTTTTTCGTATTTTAAACTTATCATTACAATTTATGTAGAAATAAAACTTACTAAGACATGAATTGTGTAATTACAATCAATTTTAAGTACTATATCAAACTAAACATGTACAACATTAGGTACTAATAAACTTATGTATCATGTAAAAATGAGTAAAAACTTTCTATAAACTTAATATGAAAAATACTAAGAGCAGCATGTTATTGGCATTTTACTGTGTTTCACATCTCTGTTCATAATAACTCTTTCACAAAATCACGATTCTTTAATTAACTAGTTCAAATTGTCATAACAAACTTGCATTTATTATTAATTATTCTGTTAAAATATATGTTCTTTACCATTTTATCTTACAACTGTTCTCTCAATGGTTGGGAGAATGGAGAGTAGGAGTGTAATAAGGTGTGGTTGGTTGCAGTGGGCGGAGGTGTGGCGCAGGAGGTGGTTGTGGTGGTGGCGGGGGGCACCAGGTTCGACGCCAGCCTCGTCCTCCAGCTCCTGCCCTCTCCAACCTTCGTGCTCACACTCAACACTCCCGGACACTCCTACTTTCTCAAGGGTGACTAGACACTCCATATTTATGATTAACCTTTTTCATTTTAATTACAATTATTTGTTAATGTAATAATAGCTTTATTATTAATACATAACATCAACGAAAGTGGATAAAATATAGAAAAAATATATATGGTAATTTGTTTTAATATTTTGTTATTTACTAAACATACGGTGAAGTATGATTATCTTCATGTATAGATGCAATAGTTGAGACAGGTAGTAGTACACAGCCATGTATCCTGAGGATGAGGCTGGCATCACTCATCATTAGCTCCTCATATATGTATGATGTAATAGATAGAATTATTCCCACCCGTAAACAGAATCATTCATTATATATACATATCAAATGTATTTTTAGGAGAGGTACCTGGTAGTGCCTGGGATAGTTTCTATCTCCACCTCCCATTCTACTCCTATTCTCTACCCACTTTTCCACCCATCCCCCCCCTCTTCCCTAAGAGGAGGGGGGATATACCCCATCCTTCTGGAGGGTGGATACCGGGCGGTGCATGGGTGACCTCCCCTACCCTCCTCTTTACTCACCCCCCCCAAACTTCCCATCCCCCTCACACAACGATGCCCCTCCCCCCCGTCCTCTCTCCCCCACTCCCGCCCCTCCCCTCATCACCAATCCCCCTCTAGCTTAGCCCCTCTTTCCTTTCATAGAATGCAATCCCCTCCCGTCATCATCTCCACCCATCTCCTGTTCCCTTACTCTCTCCACTTTCCCCACCCGCCACAAACCCGGTAGCTCATGGCTCTATCCATTATGTTGCTGAGATATGGAAAGGTCTCAGATATGCCACTGATACCCAGTGGCGTACCTGGGTATGCCATTTTTTAACAATGCCTGGAGTGTCACTTGAGTATAGTGATATTAGGTGACCCCAAATTGACCCCCCCCCCATCCCAAAATTATTGATTGGTGGATAATTGACCACAGGCCCTTTCTGCCTCACCACCATAGACCCTCCTAACCTCCCCGTACCAGATCCTCCCAGCCACCTCCTACCCCAGAACCTTCAGGTCCCCCTTCCTAGGCACTCCCACCCTGGACCCTCCATGTCTCCCTACTCCTGTGGAATGAACATAAACTGAGGATGGACAGAAGAGAGTCAGCTTCAAGATAATGTGCTCGAACATAGATGGGATTAAACACAAGGCAAATTAACTTAGGGAAAGAGCACAAGAAGTGAACCCAGATGTAATTGGACTCACAGAAACAAAACTCTCAGGAATCATAACGAATGCATTGTTTCTCCAGGACTACAGTGTAATAAGGAAAGAGAGGGAGAGAAAGGGAGGAGGTGGAGTGGCCCTGCTGCTAAGAAAGGAATGGAGTTTCGAGGAGATGGTTATTCCGGGCTGTAAGGGGTTCAGAGACTACATAACAAGCACCATGATGATGATGGCAGGACTAAGAGTAGTAGTAGCAGTGATATATAACCCGCCACCAAATAACAGAAGACCCAGGCAAGATTATGACAGAAACAACATAGCAGTTAACACTATAATTGAGAGATCAACCTCTGCAGCCTGTTGAAATCGATCCCATCTGCTCATCTTGGGAGCACTTCAATCACGGAAGGATAGACAGGGAGGACAAAGAACCGCATGGAGGGGAGGAAACATGGAGAGCTAAATTATTGGAAGTGGCGACAAAAAACTTTTTAAGCCAGCATGTCAGGTGACCCACGAAAATGAGAGGCAATGATGAGCCAGCGAGACTCAGCCTAGTCTTCACTCTGAACGACTCCGACATAAGGGAAATCGGTTTCTAAGCCCCCGTGGGAATGGGGAATCACAGTGTACTGATGTTTGAGTATCTAGTCAAAGTAGAGTTAATGTACTCAAGGAAGGACCCAGAAAACAAAAGGTTGGCATTCCAAAAGGGAAACTATGAGGAGATAAGAAAATTCCTAACAGATATAATATGAGAAACAAAGCTCAGAGGAAATACGGCCCAAGACATGATGGACTACATCAGGCAAAAGTGTAAGGAGGCAGCAGAAAAGTTTGTCCCAGTCTAAAAGAAAAAAATCGAAATGCAGACGAGAAATTTATAGTTTAATCAGAGACGTAAGGTAGCAAAGCAACACAGTACAAGGGCGTGGAGAACAGAACACTTGAGAGCAGAGAAAGATACCAGAGTGCCAGGAATGAATATGTCAAGGTGAGAAGTGAGGCACAAAGTCATTTCTTATGTCATTTACGAAAATGACATAAGAAGCAAGGCAAAGACTCAACCTAAATTGCTGCATAGCCACATCAGGGGGAAACAAACAGCGAAGGAACAGGTAAGGAAACTGAGGATAGGGGCAGACAGATTCACTACAAACCACAAGGAACGTGCGAGGAACTGAATAACAAATTCCAGGAGGTCTTCACATTAGAGCAAGGGGTAAGTCCCAGAGATAATAGAGGGAATATCTAACCATGCACCATTAGGGGAGTTTGAGATTACCAGTACGGAGGTGAGGAAACATCTGCTAGAGTTGGATGTGACAAAGGCTGTAGACCTGGATGTAATCTCACTATGGATACTAAAGGAAGGAGCAGAAGCACTGTGCCTGCCACAGTCCAAGGTGTATAACAAATCACTTTCAACAGGTGAACTGCCAAGAATCAGGAAGATGGATAATGTAGTCCCCATGTACAAGAAAGGTGATAGACAGGTGGCACTGAACTACAGGCCAGTGTCCTTAACTTGCATTCCATGCAAGAGGGAGAAGATTGTGCAAAAAAGCTAGTGGAGCATTTGGAGCAAAATAACTTTGTAACACAACACCAGCATGAGTTCAGGGAAGGCAAAACATACCTCACAGGATTAATTGAATTCTATGAACATACAACAAAAATCAGGCAAGACAGAGAGGGCTGCGAAGACTGCATATTTTTGGATTGCCAGAAAGCCTTTGACACAGTTCCTCATTAAAGATTAGTGCACAAGCTAGAGATGCAGGCAAGAGTGAAAGGGAAGGTACTCCATTGGATATGGGAGTACCTAAGCAATAGAAGACAGCAAGTCACTGTGAGGGGTGAGGTCTCAGATTGGCGAGGCGTCACCAGTGGAGTCCCACAGGGATCAGTCCTTGGACCTATACTGTTTCTAATATGTAAATGATCTCCCAGAAGGTACAGAATCGTTCCTCTCATTGTTTGCTGATAATGCAAAAATTATGAGGAGGATTAAGACAGAGGAAGGTAGAATGAGGCTACAAGATGACCTAGACAGACTGAATGAATGGTCCAACAAATGGCTACTAAAGTTCAACCCGAGTAAATGCAAGGTAATGAAACTAGACGGTGGTAACAGGAAACCAGACACAGGAGACCGAATGAGAGGTGAAGTACTATACGAAACGGATAGAGAGAAAGATTTAGGAGTTGAGTTGATACCCAAACCTGTCTCCTGAAGCCCACATCAAGTATAGTAGTAAATTAAAGTAAATTTTGCTCAGGAAAGTACATGCATAGTTGATTTACAAACATAATGTTGGATTTATAAATAGAGCTAGTACACACAATACCTAAAGCCACTAGTACGCATAGTGTTTCTGGCAAGAATTACAAGAATTCGGGCAAGAATAAGAATAAAGAGAATTACATCTGCGGCATACGCGAGGCTGGCTAACATCAGAACAGCCTTCAGGAACCTGTGTAAGGAATTATTCAGAACCTTGTATACCGCATATGTGAGACCAAGCCTGGAGTATGCGGCCGCAGCATAGAGCCCGTACCTTGTCAAGCACAAGAAGAAGCTGGAAAATGTTCAGAGGTGTGCCACTAGGCTAGTCCCAGAACTAAGAGGCATGAGCTACGAGGAAAGGCTGCATGAGATGCACCTTACGACACTCGAGGAGAGAAGAGTAAGGGGAAACATGATCACTACCTACAAAACTCTCAAAGGAATTGACAGGGTAGATAACGATAAACTTTTAACATGGGTGGTACGCGAACAAGGGGACACAGGTGGAGACTGAGTACCCAAATGAGCAACAGGGACGTTAGAAAGAACTTTTTTAGTGTCAGAGTAGTTAACAGGTGGGATGCATTAGGCAGTGATGTGGTGGAGGCTGACTCCATACACAGTTCAAATATAGATACGAAAGAGCCCAGTAGGCTCAGGAATCTTTACATCAGTTGATTGACGGTTGAGAGGCGGGACCAAAGAGCCAGAGCTCAACCCCCGAAAGCACAACTAGGTGAGTATAACTAGGTGAGTACACACACACACACACATACATACCAGGGGGGGTTACCCAGCATTGTCCGTGTCTGTCTGTCTCCCATCTATCCATACATAGAGAGGGGGTACCCTGCGGTGCCCGGGTACCCTCTCCTTATTCTCCCAGCATTCTGCCCCGTCGCCTCCTCCTCCCCAGTGCCCTCTTCTGCCCCTCGCTTCGTCCTACCTCCACTCACCTTCCTTTCCCCTCGCACACTTATAGTGTTGTATATGTATGGAAGTGTTACCCAGCAGTTCCTGTATCTCTTCCGTCTTTTCCCCATTCAAACAATTTTCATCAATACAAACATTCAATGGGAAAATGTTCTAAGAAATAAAAATCCTACACAAGGAATAGAAAAACTGACTTCTGAAGCATATGAAGTCTGAAACATGAAACATGTTCCTTTGAGGAAAGCCAGAAAGAGGTCCAATGTAGAGAGAGAACGCAGACGACATTACAAAAGAAGGAAGACATTAACGGAAATGTTTAAGCAGACACGACTAAACATACAAAGAAGAAATAATTTAAACAGGGAGATTGAAGAAATCGAACAAAGACTGAAGCATTCCTATCAGACTGAAGAAAGGCAACTAGAACAGAAAGCAATTCAAGAAATAAAGAAAAACCCAAAATATTTCTTCACATATGCTAAATCAAAAGCGAAAACCACTGCCAGTATTGGACCTATTCGTATTAGTGAAGGTTCATAATCTGAGGATGACAAAGAAATTAGTGAAATCCTAAAAAAGCAGTATGAGGACATGTTTAGCACTTCGATACACAACATGAAAGTGGAAGATTCGGACAATTTCTTTATGAATGATATTCAAACACCTGTAAATATAACTGATATCAACACGAGCGTGGCAGATTTTGAAAGAGAAATTGACAATATGCCCATGCTCTCAGCCCCGGGTCCAGACTCATGGAATTCAATATTTATAAAGAAATACAAAGTGCAAGTAGCACAGGCACTCAGTATAGTGTGGAGGAAGAGCTTGGACACGGGGGAGATACCAGATGCGCTTAAAGCAGCAGACATTGCCACTCTACACAAGGGTGGTAGCAAAGCAGGCAAAGAATAACTAGGTGAGTACACACACACACACACATACATACCAGGGGGGGTTACCCAGCATTGTCCGTGACCAGTTGCACTAACGTCCCACATAATAAAAGTATTTGAGAGAGTGATCAGGAGTCAGGTCACTAGATTCATGGAAACCAATGACCTCCACAATCCAGGCCAACATGGATTTAGAGCAGGAAGATCATGACTCTCTCAGCTACTTGACCACTATGACAAAATCACTGAGGCATTAGAAGAAAAACATAATGCAGATGTCGTATACACAGATTTTGCAAGGGCATTCTACAAATGTAACAATGGAGTGATTGCACACAAAATGAGGTCAATGGGTATAACTGGTAAAGTAGGACGCTGGATACTCAATTTCCTGTCGAACAGAACACAAAGAGTAACAGTCAATCAAGTAAAATCGAGTCCGAGCGCAGTTAAAAGCTCTGTACCTCAAGGTACAGTCCTTGCACCACTGCTGTTCCTTATTCTCATATCAGATATAGACAAAAACACAAGTCACAGCTTCGTGTCATCCTTTGCAGATGATACAAAAATCAGCATGAAAATTACCTCTGCTGAAGACATTGATAAACCACAAACAAATATTAACAAAGTTTTCGATTGGGCAGGAGAAAATAACATGATGTTTAACGGTGATAAATTCCAGGTACTCAGATACGGCAAAAATGAGGATCTAAAACATAATACAGGGTACAAAACACAATCGAATCTGCCCATAGTAGGAAAACAGCATGTCAAGGATTTGGGAATAATGATGTCCGACGACCTAACGTTTAGGGAGAATAACCAAGCAAGTATTGCGTCAGCCAGAAAAATGATAGGATGGATTACGAGAACCTTCAAGTCCAGAGATCCCATCACAATGGTTGTACTCTTCAAGTCACTTGTGTTGTCCCGTCTTGAGTACTGCTCAGTACTCACTTCCCCCTTCAGAGCAGGAGAGATTGCTGAAATAGAGGGAATACAGAGAACATATACGGCGCGCATAGACGAGATAAAGCACCTAAATTATTGGGATCGTCTCAAAGCCCTCCAAATGTACTCACTAGAAAAGAGACGAGAGAGACACCAAATAATATACACATGGAAAATACTGGAGGGACAGGTCCCTCCAGTATTTTACCCCTTACCCCTCGATCCTCCATCCTTTCCCTTGTCCCCTTTTCTTCCTCCCCCCCACCATGCTTGACCCCTCTCTCTTCTCTCAGAAAATATATTATTACAACTACTAAAAACTTTAGGGGAAACACAACAAGCATTACACACTTGACTTGCCTGTGGGTATTCATAAATGTTAATTGACCTTTAGCATAAATGCATAAATGCATTTAGCATAAGTGCATATATGCATTTAGCATAAATGCATCACTGCATTTAGCATAAATGCTAAACACATTTAATGTAGGCCGATCCTGACCAGCACGGGAGACGGTGGCTGAGCGGACAGAACACTGATCACGTGATCCTGTGGTCCGGGGTTCGATCCCGGGCGCCGGCGAGAAACGATGGGCAGAGTTTCTTTCACCCTGATGCTCCTGTTACCTAGCAGTAAATATGTACTTGGGAGTTAGTCAGCTGTCACGGACTGCTTCCTGAGGGTGGAGGCCTGGTCGAGGACCGGGCCGCGGGGACACTAAAGCCCTGAAATCATGTCAAGATCAAGATCAGCCAATGTCCATCCCATACACCAGCCCATTCCCGTTGCAAAGTTTGGCGAGTCTAGCTTCAAGCATCTGACTTTGTCCTTTGGACAAACGAAAAGACAGAACGACAAAAACAACAAACAAATCAACATTTTATAAATATTGATAGAATCATTGTTCCCAGCCATATAACATACAGAATCACCATAGCCACCCAAACAATATATAGAATCAAACCATTTTTTTTAATGTCTGTTCTCAATTGTTCCAGTTTTTAAATTAATAATTTTATGCTATTGTTTCCCAAATGATACACTTATAAGATTATCATCAAACCACACTTTATTAGCACAAGTGTTTGTATTGGACTAGTAGTAATACAGTGGTGGTAATACCAGTAACAACAGCAGCAGCAGTAATACCAGTAACAACAACAACAACAACAGTAATACCAGTAACAACAACAACAACAGTAATACCAGTAACAACAACAACAACAACAGTAATACCAGTAACAACAACAACAGTAATACCAGTAACAACAACAACAACAACAGTAATACCAGTAACAACAACAACAACAACAGTAATACCAGTAACAACAACAACAACAACAGTAATACCAGTAACAACAACAACAACAACAACAGTAATACCAGTAACAACAACAGTAATACCAGTAACAACAACAACAACAACAGTAATACCAGTAACAACAACAACAACAACAGTAATACCAGTAACAACAAAAGCAGTTGCAAT